AAAAAGATTAAGAGCTCCAGCTCCTATATTTTAATTTCTAAACCATTTCAGTAATGGCCTATGAGAGACCTACACAAGAGCTGTTCTTGCAAGCACAGCTACCACTTGGCAACTACTGCATTTAAGTAAGTTTAAAAACCCTACTCTGAGTATTGTGGCATTATGTACTTTTGGTGGATGGCCACAAAAAGTGTCAGAGACAAACTGAAAGGGTTTCCAAAAGGGATAAATCAACCACAGCTAGCCCAGCAGTGTACAAATCCACGGCCAGGCATCCTCAGAACTGATAGACTGTAAATGCCACCTGCAAAATTCCAAATGATTGATTTCCAAGCAGAAAGCCCCAATCCAGACCTACACTGGTTTTACAACTAGCATGTTTCTAGAAGTCATAGCAAGATTTGATTTTGGAAAACGGACTTTTTCCCGGAATGCTAAGAGGTCACCCCACTTGACATCAAGACAGATCTCTATGTTAAGACCACACCCACTGAAGTTGGAAAAGGAATTCATAACCAAATGCAGAGACTTCAAGTACCCTCCTAACTTTAAAATTCCTTTTTCCAGCATGTTGCTACAACCTTTCTAGCAATTTTTAGCCAACCCTGCTCCTCTGAGTTGCACCACTTGGGTCCTGTCTGAAAGCAACTGTGCACAAAGGTCTTGGAACAGAGCGAGATCCTTCGGCCATAGCTCATGCCATGCTGCTCACACCAACACCCCACCATAACCAAACTTGGGAAATGAAAGCTCTCGTTACGTTCAGAGTTCTGCACCAAAGCTCATAAACTCCAAGCAGCAAGGCTTGCTCAAACCAGAGGTATCATGACTCAACAAATCAAGAACCAACTACTTCAACTCAAGCTAAACTGACAAGGCTGAAAATTTTTAATCACATTTCAGAAGATTAGTCTGGTTTTGCAAATTGTGCAAGACTTGACTACAGCTGTGTCACCAGCCATACTTTGGACCGCATATTCTCCCTCAATTTTTTCAGTATTTTAGGAAGGAAATAAACTGTATTTGGCACAGTGTGCACTATATTAGTACAACGGGCACGCAGCCAGCATCAGTCTATTCCCTGATCTGTTCCACTCCTTCTCATCATCCTACTTATAGCTCTTCAGATTTGCTTCTCTTCCTGCATCACCCCATAAGGTAAGTGGCCCAGACTAAAAGATACATTATGGCCTCTTTTCACCAAAGAGCCGTAATTTTGCTATGATGATTCAGGAATCTTGCCCAAACAGTACTGCAAGAGACAAGTGAAACAGTAAGAATTAGAAATGCATATGGATTAGTGTCAGTAGATACATTAAACAGGATACTACAGGAAGGCAAGTGCTCAAATTGCTCAATTTCCAGATTAAAAAAAAAAAAGTTTAAAAGTATAAAATTTATTATAATCGAGTTCATAATTTTACTTTCTTTTTTGTGCATGAACTCGGGGGGGGAGAGTGTTGTTACAGACTGCACCGTTGTGCAAAGATTAAAGAAGATCCTTTTGTACAAAAGATGTTAAGCAAAATTATTACTACACATCTCATCTGTCTGCAAGAGAAGCTTTCATCCTAGACTGCCTAGTTGAATTCTAGCATCATTTTCTGATCACCTTAGTATCTTCAGTAAAAGGTTAAGTTTCTCCCACAGGAAGAGAAGCAGAACATTTCCCAGACAAACAGCAGAGGAAGTTTGGCCTACAGGTACCTATCTTGTGAAGCATAAAACTTTCATTTTTCTTCTGTAAACTTAAAATAGAAGGCTTACGATAAATCTCATCTAAAGAAGTTTCTGTGGTTTATACAATTTATGTTATGTTTCATCCAGATTTTAGAAGTTTTAAATAAATTAAAAAGTTATTCAACTATGTCATTGTCAATTTTAGGAATTTAACAATCTGAAGTTTTGTCAAGTTATATAACAATAGTTAAGAAGATGGAACAAAATTACCTTTACAGATGTTGGAAAATACTGAGAAATTCCTTTTGGATAAAAGAAAAATAATGTATTGCATGTAAGTATAATGCAGGATATCTGTAAGTTGGAGTAATCAAGATCTAGTCCATTGCCTTAAGGTCACTTGTTTTCTTTATTAAATTTGTTTGAATAAAAATTAAAAACCAGACAGCACAAGGACAACCAATTTTATAACTCTGTACGTAACAAGGGTTTTTTTTCTCTGATAAATAAGAATCTATTTCATCCTTTTTTTGTAGTAACAGTACCAAGGAATAAGACTGGAACTACAGACATTCTCCACCAAGTTATCTGCTTGTATCAAAAGGGTCAAACACCACTGCAATACACAGTGTTGGGGCAGTAAGGTCGGACAGACACATGGCAATAAAAGGTTACAGTGTTAATTCTCAGAAGTACCCAAAGCAGATGATGACTTCAGAAGTCAGAGGATGTGTCCAGTCGAAGAAGAACCACGTTCCTGGAGCCAATGTCCATCAAATTTTGTAGAGTCTATTCTTTCAATAGTGACATTTCTCTTTCATTGTGACATTTTGTGCATGTGAAAATGATTATTTTACTACCGCCACAATATGTTTCTTCCTCTCTGACACAAATGGCACAGATCCCGGTTTGCTGTGCTTGCGACGATTCAGTTCCCTAGAAACAAAAAAAAACAGAAAAATGAAATTCATTAGTCAGCACAAATGTGAAACAAATAATAGCTTCCTCCTCAAGGTACTAATGGAGACATCCTACAGGTGAAAAAGAAAAGTCCCTTTTAAAACTAACTTCAAAGTTGGCTAATTTAGAAAAGTTTCAAATCAAGCCCTTTTTTGGGAGCTCAGCTTGATTTTCATTTGACAGGATTGGCTGTTCAAGTATGTAAAGTCTTTCAGCAGATAGAGAGACTAAAACCCAACACTTCTTAGTTTAGATTTGGCTACAGCAAAGTATGCCATCTCCAGCTCCTAGAAATTCCAATATGGCAATGATCCAGGTGACAGCAACATTCATCATGGAGTCTCACATTATATAAAAAACCCAAAATAACACAAACGCACAAACAACCAAACAAAACAAAAAACCCACCACACCAAACACAGCCTACTCTGTTTCCATTGCCATGTTGCATTGTCATGCTTAACCAAGCATTGTAGCTCTTTCCAACATGGTATTTGCTGCCATGCCTCCACTGCACTTTTGGGAAGCAGCCAGTCCTCCCTGACACTGGCACTTGTCTGCGTTTTCCTTATGATCAATCCAGTAGTTCACGATCACTTGTTCAGATGTTAAAAGCAGCTCACACTCGTTCCTCCCACATGCTGTATCTCCATCACTCCCATCCACTGCTGCTACAGCAACACTGCAGTGATGCATTTTTTTAAGGTGAAGAGAAAACCAGTGCAGAAGAGGACGACATACTTTCGCCGACGAGCCTCTCTCATGATGCGCTGCTCCTTGATCTGGCAATAGATGCTCTTGGGCAAGTGACGGTGCTGAGCAATGCGCCGGATCTGTGGGTGAAACTGGAACTTCTCCTTCAGCTTCTGATTGTAATTCATAGCTGCCTTCTCTCGCGGTGCAAGCTACAGCAAAAACAACACAGACAAGCACGTTATGAAAGAACAGGGATTTAACTGTCAATCTTCTGTACAAAACAGAATTTTAACTTTTAATTCAAGTGGTTTCCTTCTAGCAAATGGTTGTAACCACAGGATCTTCAAAATTAGGATAGGGAAATATTAAAAAAAACCTTAAAATTCCAATGATATCCTTATGCTCAAACACAAGAGTTTATTCACAGTTTCAAAGTTGAGTGAAGTAACCAAATCTAACTCCTGAAATTCAGATTTTAATGTGCTGTAGAAAAACAGGAGGGAATATAAATAGCTGACAGTAAACATACATTGATCAGTCTTTCCTAACCTCAGATGATCAACTTTACCTGTAAAACTAAGATTTGCAGGCATTTTAACCACTAGCCAGAGCAAATACAAATGCTGTAAATGAACTGTCCAGACGTCTTTTTAGGCGGCCTAAATCTTACCCAGAGCCTTGATCCCTTAGGAAGCACAGTGTACACATCAGATTTCAAGTATTAGCCTCACTGTGTGGCACCAGGGAGTTCCCACTTTCATCAAGCTGTTTAAAAAATCTTTTTTTCTACCCTCCTGCCCAAAATACACTCTATAGCTCCAGTATTTCAGACATATTTTCAAACAAGCCGTGGAACAAGTCATTTGCCCTCTCACATTTATTTCATACACTACCATCTGCAGCTAAAGTACGAATAGCTCAGACAACTTTTATTTATTCAGCTTTGAAAATGACTTAGTTTCACTAATTTCTTATTTTCAAGAGAAGACAGAACCCAAGTTTCAGATGCTAAGAGAAAAAAAGCAGTAACAAAACCACCAACTTTATTACACACAGAAAGTTTGGAAATTCCACCTACATTATAATGAAACGTGTTTTTCCCCTTTGAAATCAGCAGTTGGCTATTTTTTCTCCACTCTGGAGTCACTTTTATAAGTGACTTCTGTTAAAATACTTAATGAATTCTGAAAAAATAAATATCATACTCAGAAGATTTTGGTTTGGAATACCATAAATGGTCTGAAAGCAAGTATTGATAAAACATATTGCAAAGGAGTTTCTCATTTGGGACAATAAAGAAACCAGGTATCATACGCAGAGTTACTCATTGCTCAATTCTTATTCAGGCATCAGAGATACATAATGCTCTTAACCTATGTTTCACCCTACCCTCTAGTTTGGAAAACTCATATCCTTTTGCTTTACTTACATTTTTATGACCTCTCTAAGTGAAATAGAGTAAATTTTACAATCCTAACCCACTAAAGCTACACCCCCCCCTTTTTACTGAAATTCCTTCCAGCGAGCCAACCTGAATAGTTGATTCCCTCTCAATAAATCCCAGGTGTTCCCACTCTGCAGAAAACCGCCAACATAATCCAAATTAAAGAGCTTTTATTTTAATTAAATGCAATGATTTTCCTTTAATTTAGGAAGAGCAAATTGCTGCCAATTTAGTATAACCTTGATGATTCTACAGACAAGAGGTGAATCTGTAAATTAAAGATAAATCCAGGACATCTTATTTAAAAAAATTAATATAGATCAAGAGGTGGTTGAGTCTGACTCCATTTTTGTGTATAATGTGGTATACAAAAAGGCACACAGCTGGTGACTTTCTATCCAACTATCAAATGCCAATGGCCAAAACACCAGGCTGTGCTAAGTGCACCCTCATCTACATGATGGTAAAAGAAACTTTTGCAGTAATGACAAGTTTCTATTTATGAGAGACAGCAGATAGCTAAGAAAGCTTACTGCAACAACCCACTGAATTCCAACCTCTCTCTTGCAAGTCATTTTACAAAGGTCAACATGAACAGCTGAAGAGAACAGCATTACTACCTGTTCTGTTTTGGGCTGGAGAAGATGCACAGCATGATTTAGCAGGATTAGAGATTTTGTTTATGGGGACTGGAACACTGTATAATATAATAAATTAGGATTTATATGACATCATGAGACACTCATGATGCCATATGACAACTCAAAGATGACATATGACTCTTTTTTCCATACATTCCATTTCATACATACGTAAGTGAATGTGCAACTTCCTTCCTACATGAGGAAAATAATAATTATGTGGCAGAAAGAGAACCAATTTGTGCCACTTCACAGCAAATACCTAGAGTGAAAAATGGAGAAAAAGAAATCTTTAAATGTAACCAAGTTGCCAGCAATAGGAAAATGCCTCCTCGAATAAACTGTCCATGCCTCTCTCCTCCCTCCTGATGATGGAAGCTGGTTATTTTTCCACATCTAAATGGAAGGTAAGCATTTTTCCAGAGCCCTGACTGAAGAGCTAAAACCACCTTATCCTTGTCAAGAGGGCTGTATTTGTACTGTGCAGTATTTAAAACTCCACGCTGTTACATTTCTGTAATTCAGCATAAGAATATGAAATTAATGTTTATCAGTCCTCTTCAGGTTGCCCTTCTAGATTAGGGCAGGCAAGAGCACTGATGTAATATATTTTTAGAATCCAAACATATCCCAGCAGGTTTCTAAACCATAGCTTCTCTTCATTTATTTTTCCACTGCTCTGCTGAAAACACCTTTCTAAATCTATTGCCATTAAGTTTATTATTCATTGTTTCCTGGACCAAAAAAATTTGGCTTCTTTATCTCTAAATGAATGACAAAAATAAAAAAAAGAAAGGTAATGTAAGGCAATGTAGATATTAAGAGCACAAAATCATAGCTAAAGGGCTGAAGTTTCAGGTGCACTGAATCAATCAAAAGCCCAAAATCACTGAGAAGAATGCCATGTCACACAGTATCTGGTACTGCTTGTTATCAGCATTATCTCAGAAAATAGAACCACATACTAGAACCAGACCAAAAGGATACACAATTACTTCAGTTTTGATGTGCTCCTGCTGATGCACTTTGCTGGATCAAAAGCAAGACTCGTAACTGCACTTCCTCCTCTTTTTCAGACTTTACTCAAATCTGTTATTTCTGCATTTTATAAGAAAGCAGCAAACCTATGCTTCACTAGCACTATGCTCAGCACTAGTTTTACTGAAATACCAAGCAGAAGATTATCTTATTCAATTGTCCAGTGCTCTGTTCTAATTCAGAATTGTGACAGCCAAATTTTGCAGCTGTAACTCTCTGAAGTAATGTTACTAAGCATTTATATGCTAAGAACTGTGGGTATAATTTCTTTTTTAGCGTGTCAGTAGACTGAAGAGCAATACAGCTTTTAAATGTTTTACTGATGCTTCATTGTTTTCACTATAATTAAAAAAAACCCTAATACATCTTTTCTAATCTATCCCTTTAACCTAATTCATCCCTTTCTTTGTATTAATTACATTAATTGTACACTGTCAACTGAAATCTACTCTATTACTGCTGCTTTTCCAGACTTTTCACTCAGTTGAGGCTCTATTTTCCTCTTTTCACCAAAAGTCAAAACCATTTACCTTTCAGAAATCCTAAACCTTTTCAAAGGCACAGGTAAAAAAGCCTCAAATGTACTTAACAAGCCATATTTTATGTACAGTATTTGAACAGTTTGGAGTTTCTCAAAAGTCTTGTTTAATTGAGTCTTTTGCTTCTGGACATGCAGAGACAGATGTTTACTGCTTTAAAAATAACACCTGTTTAGTCCTATTTAATAATACGTATTTGTCAATTCATCATTTTTTATTAAAAACTAAATATTGCAAATTACTTTAAAGCAACTTCTGCAGTAGCTCCAACAGAGATTTGGGGTTTGTTACCCCTGTGTAAAACCTGTGCAGGCTCAATTGTCAGTGGAGTAGAGACACAAGACGCCTCTGGCTCCTCAAGAGACTTTTATTCTTTCTTTTATGTTTCAATGATTTTGAATAATGAGTGCAGTGCCAAATAAATTAAAACCCAAAAGAAACATGCATGTCAGAACTGATGACTGCTCGGGTAGCCACAGTTTAGAAAGTACAACTTTCCAACTGGATAAATGTTCACCAGCCACAGCATGAGTACTATATGTTCACTCTAACTTCCTTGGAACCCAGCAATGCTAAAGAACAACTAAGGCTAAGTACTCACCAAAGAAAAAAAATGCTTGATTACTATTTTACTTTCTCTTTCAGGATGTTGGTTTCCACTCATCCTGAGCCCAAAAATATCCATCTTAAAATACAATGTATTGCAAGATTTTAGCATTATATCAGAAATACAGTGACCTTTGGATGAGTCATTCAATCAAATCTTCTCAGCAAAGAAAAACAGCAGACCAAGCAACTAAGCATTTAAGACATATTCTGACACTTCTGACAGAATTACTGAATGTTCAGCTCTGAATATTCAAAACATTCAAAAAATAGCCACAGACTGTGGAAGAACTGGACAGTTATAAAAGGAGCAAGCACATGCTTGTGAAGATAAGAACACCAATCCTATAAAAAAGCAGAAGCAGGTACTGAAGAAAAGCAGTGGAACCTGCTATATAGCCATTAACAGTTGCAATGTTAAGAATCACAGGAACTACCAGGTTGGATCAAACAAGGATCGGCACAGTTGCCTGAACCCAAACATTTCCAAGGTGTATCCAAGACCGTGGTAAGCCACGAGGACTGTACTCTTGAGTCCTATTAGCAACAATTACTCTCTAAACATCTGAAAAATAAAATCTCTTAGTGCTTCTAAAAAAGAACTGCAACAACTATAGCAGCTTCAGACACTCAAATTCTGTGTTTTGCTAAATTCAAGGCTTCAGCAACCTCATGTCTGAACTCACTTCCACACAAGATTCGGGGATCTGAAACAGCACCTCTTCTACCTTATAATGTAATTCTTTACAAGTTCATTGATGTTCTCCATGAGAAGTGAGAGTTTTTCTACATAATAAACTATTGTCCCTTTAAAGTTCTTCCTGTATTTCTACAAAATTTTGCTTTGTTAAGATGTCTTTTGTTGTTGTGGGGTGTTTTTTCTAGGATTGATTGACAAGTTTTATATTCTAAAGGATGGGATGACTTTAACTTCTGACAGTAAAAAAAACCCAAACAAGCCTACAAAGAAAGAATCCCCAAGAAACCAACTCAAAAAAACAGAAGGGGGAAAAAAAAATCAAATAATAAACCTCATGCCACTTGACCTGTGTCACAGACAGATATTGATTTAGCTCTCCTGGGAGCCAACAGCCAAAGCACTTTGACAGAAATGCTTACACACCCTTACACACAGTATGTTACAAAAGCTTGTTCAGTCTGATCCCACAAGAGCAGAACCAAAGGCACAGCGTCCAAGAGGCATATCAAGCAACAAAACCGAACTTATGGAAAAACAGAAAAGGCTATTTTATGGAGGATCCACACGAACATGAAGGATCCACATATAGGAACATGAACACTACTGTGCAGACCACATCCAATAGCCGATAGTCACAATTAGTAGTGCCTTTTTTAGGCACATCCACAGCCAGTTTTTACTGATGCAAATACTACAGAAAACAGCAGAACGTCGTACACCTAAACAAGGTACTGTCCTTTTGGTACACAGTATTTCTATAATGCAGAAGGAGTTGGGTTTGCCCATTACTTCCCAGAGCCAATTATCCTTAGTCTTTCATTAGAAAATGAGCCAATGCCATCTACTAGTCAATACAGTGAACTTTTAGTTCACAACTGAAAATATTAGGAACTCTTCTATATGAAAATGTTATTTTTGACATTTTTCTTTCCCACTTGTCCTTCACACAGAGGGCACAGAGTAAAGATGCACATCAGAGTTACCAGACAATTCCGTTACAGAACAACAGCTTAGAGAGATCATGATCTCTCACTAAGACTATAGCGAATAAACAGAGAAAGTTTCAGTTAATATTGTAAAATCAGGTGAAAAGGGTGTTGCCGTGAGCACATGGATACAACAGAAGGAAAACAAGTAATAATTTCTGCCCAACATCACACCGTCTAAATAAATTCAACATAAAAAGTTAAATGAAAAAGTCTCTAATAAGCTTTGTGGAGCCCCTGGAATTAGCAAGTATGGGACTGATATTTGCATTTGACCACATGGGAAAATCCCAAGAATCAATGCAGAACAGAAAAAAGAAAAAGCATCCTCAAAAAAAGGAGTCACCACATTTAAAAAAGTTTAACTTAAATAGTAGTTTGTAACCACAATTACTGCACAGACCACAAAGCTGTGGTTTTATTACTCACAGTTCTATAGCAAAAATGAGAATAACAGGACTTCCCAATACCTATGGTGGGCCATGGCTAAAGATATCCATGTTATTTTATCTGTGCTACTCCATATGCAGTGCTTCACAGTGCACAACAATCCATGAACTATCCCGTTCCGCACAGTAGCCCTAAGTACTTCTACTACCCCCATTCACTTGCCACATCTCCCAGCTCTGCTCCACTTCCCTCCTGCAGATACTATAAGCTGATAGGGCATCAGGTAATCACAAGCAGCCCTAGACATAACTCTGCAAGAGATGTCCCCTTAACTGTACAACATTCTTCCCTGAATTACAGCTTCCCTTTCCTCTCCCTGCAATCTTTCACAAGATCTAGTAGAAATTCCCCCAGGCATTATCTGACAGCTGTGCGAATGGGCTCAGAAAAAGCAATGTAAGCACCTCCAAAAAACTGTAACAATATAAAGCTACATAAAGGGATCACTCACAGCAAAGCGTCAAATTCATTCTCCACAGTCACTCAATACTTCAGAGTTCAACTCTGCAGATGAATATATACAGTTGGGAACCGTAAAGGAATATTTTGGCTTTGTCTATACATAAACATTTGAAAAAGTGTAACTGAAAAGACTTCATTAGTGTGGTGTCTGTTCCTACTAGGGACCTTCTCTAGTACAAAGGGATGAATTCTAGCACAACTTTACCACCCAGGTTAAAAACTCAACTCTAGTTTAGATAGAACTGATGATTGTTGTTAAACAAGACCAAAAAAAGTCACCTTGTGTAACAACAATGAGGTATGTAGTTTTATTATTATTATTATTATTATTATTATTATTATTGTTATTATTATTATTATTATTATTATTATTATTATTACAAACTGCAGTAAATGCAATGAGCTGCACTGAGCATGTCAGTCTGCAAATTAAACACAAATGTCAAACTACAATTTTACCGTTTCCCTTTGGAAATAAGATTGTTAAGGCTGAACAGGCTAACAAGCTGCAATAACAACAAAAAACCCCAAACATCTTGTGATAACAAAAAGCAAAAGGCAACTCTTACCACTCCCAGTTTTTCAGAAGCATTGGCTTTCCACAGGCGAATATTCATCTCATCGGAGCCACACAGAATATATTTGTTATCTGAAGTCCATTTTACAGTGATGACGTGCTGCATTCGTTTGGTATGATATACCTCCCTAAAGCAAAGAGAGACATTTTAAAATGAGCTATCATCACTCTTCCCACCAACACTAGCATTCAAATAGCAGAAAGCATTCTGTGCAAGGCAAAAAATTATTTTTTACTTTTTGTTGCTGTTCTTTAAAAAAAAAAAAATCTGACTTTTTTTAACACTGTGCTGATCTTATCTCTCTGTAGATAGAGATTCCAGTAAAGTAGATAAAGGACTGATAAAGGACCATCTCGAATAAGATGTTTTTTAAACAAATGCTTTCATAGAAATTATAGTAAGTAGTTAAAAAATAACTCTTTTTGCAAAACATGCCATGGGTATACAATATGACATCCATATTGCTCCTGAAATTATTTTGATTAATGTGCATTGGGAGTATTACTGAATGAGAATGCAGAAAAACAAGTGCCAAAGAATCTGACACCATCATCATGAATAAGAAAAAGAAGAGTAAATAAACACTTGTCCATTTATGATACATGGCAATGGATTTGCTTCTCTTCATTGTGATTTCCCTCCTTTACCCAAAGATTGACTTTCTTTCTTTTCTAATTTCTTCCAATCAGACTCCTGCTCAACAAGTGCTGACACCTGTTGAACAATGTTTCTGCATGCTACAGTTAAACCAATATTAAATTAAACTCTTATCTGATTTTCATTAAGTATGTATCAAACAAATTTATTCTTTCATTTCTGCTATAAAGGACTAGGTACACTTTTCCAGTAATTTCAGCTATTTTTTAGCATTCTGAAAGTAAAGAAAAATAAGGTCTACTTATTGTCCACCAATAGCCACTTCTGCAATGTATCAGACATGCACTACAGCTTACAGACCATTCTCTTTCTTCTACTCAGTTATTTTTATAAGGAAAAACCAAGTAATACTGTAAAGGAAACACGAAAACAACACCTATCCAGAGTTGTGGGAAAACTGGACTGGAATTTAACTGGCGAGGTTGTGAGAAAAACAAAAGTAATCAATACATCAGCTTAATAAGCTTCAATAAGCTTAATCACCTCTTGTAATTCACCAGCAAGCAATGCTGCTCTACAAGAACAACCATGCTGAAGACTAAGCACAAGAACCTTCAGAAAACATCAATACATCAGCTTTTCAGTGATGTTAATTAAATTTAAAATGACATTATTGTAAGACAAAAAGAAAATGAAAACTATCTGTAGATAAGATATAGAGGGAATGTAAACAGCCCCTCTCATTCTTTAATGCAGCATAGGAGCACAGTTACATTGCATACATAATTTCATCAATCAATAATAAAAATATACTCCTTCACCAACGAATATTTGAATGTTTCCACCCTCAACTACCTAGAACCTGACCTAATAACAACCTTTTGGGGTGCTGAGGTTGGAGAAAGGAACCTAAGTAGAAGTAAAATAAAGTTAAGAAAAAAGAAAAAGGAAGAAGAACTGACAAGAGAGAATAATGAAGGGAGGTTTATGAAGACAATTTGATACCACATAGATCAGGTAACTTGCTTCAGTTTTCATCAAACTGAAAGAAAAATAAAAAATAATGGAGACACAGTAGATTCAATCTGAACTTCAGCAAAATACTTAATATACTGACTTATGAAATCTTATATGAAAACTAAATCAAAATTAATTCTATTCAAAGCACTGTCATATGAATCAAAACCTGGTTAACAAAATGTGAATAAAAGGTAGCAAATGCACTGAAACAGATCTCAAAAGCATCCCAAACTAATTCTCAGGAATTCATACAGCAATACATTTACATAATATCTTTAGTAATCATCCGTATTAGGAAGAAGACAAACTCTAGAAAACCAAATGCTTCAATGCTGTAATACACTGCACACTTAAGGGGTGACAGATAAAGTGCAAAGTGACCTAAAAACATTCAAGATGCATAGAGGGAAATAAAATGGGATTCACCTTGGTAAAATACAAATGACTACATCCAAACACAATAATCCACTGTAATTTTAATTGCATACTGCATAAGTACTGCTACCTGTTGAGTAGTTCTACTTTTGATACAGACTCCAGAACTGTATCAACCACACAGCCTGTCAGTTTCAAGCTATCGACAGAGTCAGATTTCAACATTCACAGGAAGTGAATGGTCCAATGAAGATGTTAATAAATGAATTAATAGTTTTGAAGATTTGGGAGGGAAGTCACTGAAATGAATGACAGCAAGACAGAAAGGTGTAAAACCACTCACCTGCTGTGACCTTTGTCTACAGGAAAAATGCGGATAGACTTATCAAAGCTGGCAGACACAAATTCTTTCCCAGTGGGTGAATAATCCACATCAAGAACAGCAGATACATGATCCATATGCACCATCACAGGTGACTCGAGAAAGCGCAAATCAAAAGTATATAAGCTGTAAAATAAACATCAACAGCTTAATACCTTTTCCTTTTAAATTCCCCAAGAGGAAGTATACAGCATCATGTTCAAAACTGCTGCTCCACATAACCAGCGAACACTTGCATGTGCCATTGCATATTAATTGGTTTAGGCTGCAAGAGGGCAGTTGCCCCAACACTAATAGCTATTGTTTTTGTTTTGGAAGGGGAAGACAAAAAAAAAATTTAAAAACCCCAAACCAAACAAACAAAATAAAAACACAAACAAAAAAACCCAATCAAACAAAAAACAACAAAACCAAAAAGCAAACTTATAAACAAAACTCTAAACTTACAAATAGATTAGGTAGCCTAGTAGCCTTATCATACCATAATCCAAACACAAGAAAAACAGTACATTGAATATGAAACCCACTTTCAAGGTCTGAGCCAGACTTCATTTTCGTGGAAAAACAGCCTTAAGTGATAAAATTCCTATGTTCTAGAAGAAAACAGTGATCTATTGTTAGATCACCGACTTCCTGGAAAAGAGGATATGTAGCACATTTGCAATGGCCTAGTTTTGAAGAGACAGCTTTTTCAATATCAGATTAGCTTTTCACATGAATAGTATTGTTCAAAAGTAAAAAACTGCTTCGAGACATTGAAAGGATAAGTATTGCAGTCTCCAGAACTGTTTCACAAAGGATTAATTTATTCTTTTAAGAAATGTTTTTATCAAAATAGCTGATCAGTACAATATATCAAGCTTTGCAAGAGCCAGCAAGAAAATAAACACATATATTGCCTCCAACTGGACCAACAGTACTTACGTTCTGGGTCCCATTGCAAGTTATACTTGCATTGGTTCAACTACACTTTTTCTAAGTTACACTGTTTTTTATCCCTCAAGTACTGAAATGCAGAAAAAAAAAGGCAGTCTACTATCAATTCGTATTTCTTACAATCAGCAAGCCTGAAATTCTCTAGGCTATTAAGTGATTCAAATTTAGAGCAGTCTTTTAAAAATTTATTTTAGCATGCTCATAAATCACCAGACACAGATTAAAAATGTAACATGTCCAGAAGCAAGGTCACACTTACTTGTAATCTTCATTTGCTGCAGTAAAAATGAAAGCTTCCATGGGGTTCCAACACAGTGTATTTGTCCTCATGTTCAAGATAACCTGAAAAATATTTACACATTGCAACCTTGTTAAAGGCAGTAAAATACTCACTATAGTTCAAAGCTTCCTATACACCACTGGAGACAAGCACTTCCTAGATACAAATCATGCCAGAGAAACAGTGACATGACAGAATGTTTCCTCAGCAGTATTAGAATCCAAACTCGAGAACCTCCTCTCCCTCATCATATACCCACTGCTTTGGGCTACACAGACAATAAAATTTCCTCTGTAAATCACCTTAGAATTCTTTTAAGTGGCCATTTAACATGGCAACACGCTTGTGGTCTAAAAGTAAACCTGGGACTTCCGAAAAATTTCACTTCTCATATTTACAGGAACCTCTGGTTAAGTAATCAACAGACATGCCTAATTAAATGCTTATTTCAAGGGATATAGTCATTAATTGAACTGCAGATCAGCATTTGCAAAGCAATTATAACATTTTTAATGTTCTCCCAGTTATTACTATCCTTTCCTTATTTTATCTCTGAAATTGCAGTTCATGAATTCTCCTGGACAGTTGCCATTTCTTGCTGAAGTGCCAAGCAGTGTACACAGAAGTTACTGTGTTGAAATCTGCTCACCACTATCACTGTATCAGCAGTGAGTCATTTGCTCCACATTCATAAGATTTGCTTGCTGCTAGCAAGCATATGGCTAACAAAGAGGCCAGTTGGCCCTGAAGTGGGAAGAGGGCAGCTGATAACAGACTAATAAGACCCTTCTGCCTTGCTATCTGCAGACTAGACAAGAGGCATTAAGAAGCTGTATGTCAGACATCCCCACCTTGGAGGAGAGTTGTGGCAGTAACAGCTGGGCCTTTGTAGGAGGAGGGAGGGCAGGGAGGAGGTCATTGGACACACCATACACAGCAGCTTTGGCTTCTGCCCAGTCTTAGAGAAACTTCCAACCATCATATTTAAAAATAAAAGCTATACAGTATGCCTGACACAAAGTGGATGTGTAATTACAGAGCAACTTATTAACAAACTGTACAACTCTAAACAGGATTTTCTACAGTGCTCCAGGCCAGCTACAATCCTTCTTAACGATCCTGAAATTTGAGTGTTTGATGCTATGGTACTCCAAACTCATTTTTGTTCTTGACTTACTACACCAAACACCATACATTTACATACATATCCCAGAATATAGTTGTACAATTATAACCCTTACAGAAATGACTCTAACAAACATCCCCCCAAAAGACTGTGAGCTTATGAGTGTGTGCATAATCTCGTAATTCTCATTTCTTCATAAGTCTTCATTTCCTAGGTGACCTTACCCTGTCCATTATAAAGTCTGTGCTGCAGAACATTGCTCATTTTCAGAAACTACGTGCATTCAGAACCGAATGGAATCATCAGATGCCTAAGTGATCTCTAGTGTAAGAAGTGGCCACTGAAATGCCCTATGTTTACAGTAATATGACAAGTGGAATTTGTTCAAGACTTCAATATTGTTCTAGTTACAAACCTGGCACATGTATGGGAAGTTATTAATCAAGGAGTGTCCTTTATTCCTCCCTGTACAAGTTTATCAACCACTGCAAAATGACCACACGATTAATGTTAACCCATTATATGTATAAAAAGTATTTTTAATCATGCCACAAAATAACTTTGCTATTGTGAAAAATCGAGCTCCTTCAAAAGGTGTCAAGTTTGGTCACAGTCCATGCTCCACATCACTGATTTTTCACTGAAATTTACAAGCGTTCAGGTCATTTCAGCAGTGGCTTTTGGAATTAAAATAGTGCCCACAAAACAGATTCTCTGTGCAGTTCTAGGATTACATAAAGCAACCTGGGCTGGAAGTGATTTAAGTTGCTGTAAATACATTAATAATGGCATTTCAGGACTATCTAAACCTGTAGTGGAGCCATCTTCTGACCCTATTTTTAATCTACCGTAGATCTTCTTATGAAATGAGTAAGTGTAATACTTACTAAGACAAGTCAAAATTGTGAAGTCCCTGAAGATTTGGATATCTTGGTTTATTTATTTTAACTATGAACACTTGCTTACAAAGAGTGTCAGCCTGGAGATGTAAAGATTACTTTAACACAAAGCCTGATCACCCAAAAAATTAATCCGTCTTCTTTTCTAACCTATAAGGTATTTGGTTGAAATGAACAGCTAAGAATACAGCAAGCAAGAGAAAGCACAATTCCTGTCAGCTGTTTAAATGCAAAAGTCCATCTTTAAAATACCCTAAGCTCTCCTGATTCCCCAGGTTCTACAAGAATCACTTTAAAGTGTACCAACTCCTACTAAACATCTTCCTCTTGTTTTTCAACAGAATTGTTTTCCTTCATCTTTTCCCAGCTTTTTCAGACTAGTTCTTATTTTGCACTTAGGCAGCATCTCACTATCTTATCCCTCCCTCTTTGAAACTTAAGGCTTCGAAACGCATAGGCAGGAAAAATGGGCAAGAGTCCCAACTGCTTTGCTGATCAAATCCCAAGACCACAGCAGTGCCAGAAACCACTGTCTGTACATAAGTAAGGTACCTCTAATAAGCAGCACCCTTCTCCTAGGAGTTACAGAGCTCTTAGCTCTCAGTGCAGAAATGGGACATTTCACTTCCAATCCACAGGAGAATCATCTCTCTTCCAGGAGAAAGCCCATTACTGTATCCATGGATGCAAGGAAGTACTCACTGATCAGTGCTTTACTCCCATAACAGAAAATGCATCTGACCACGCTGCTTACATATATAATATACATGTAATTATGCACATGTATGTACAGTTGTATATCTTTAGCATATATACATATGTAACAATCTGTTAGATTAGAACTTAGTTCACAAAGGCTCAAACTGCCTCCTTGGACCTTTTAACTGCAGCTCTACAGCACTGGTTGTGTTCATGTCAACATTCAGGCCTCCAGCTGGCATCACTGACAAGTTTTTATAAGTACTGTCTCAGTGGTCCAAATGAGATTTTATTAAAAATTGATGACACAGGGAGAGGGAGACAAAGAAATACTGTTATGCCAACAACATTTCTCTTTTATAAGTTAAATACCATTATAGTTCTAGTGATCCATGTCATTTCAGAAAGTATGCAGCACAGAAGGATGCTGAGTGTATATTCACAAGCCAGAATAATATGTTTCAAGAATAATATTGTTAAAATAGTTCTGAGGCTCAAAAGGACTGAACTTGATTGAGGTTTAATATGAGTGTATGATTTACCAGCTTCTTGTTTAAAATGAATACATACATTCGGTTAAATGGGAATCTTTATGTCATCAATATGTTCCAACTATAAATACAATTTTGATTACACTGCAAAAGATTTCTGAATATTTATGGTAGGTGCATAGGGGAGACTTTATCTTCCCGCAAAGAAAAAACACTTTTTCAAATGCAGAGCAAGGCTCTCCCGTGGTGGAAAGGAAATGCCTTAGAAGATACCTTGTTTCCTTCTGGCAAGGAGGAGGAAAAAAAAAATTAAAAAAATTACACACAGACAGAATGCAATACAAGAACATAAAGTTCTTATTGTGAAATTGCTGTCAGGTCAGGCACTTGATCAAGAATTACAACAGAGCGAGCATGACAGCCTGTCTGAATGCAGAAAAAGGCCCTTCTAACTCTGCATTGTTTAAATCCCAACATTAATTTAAACTCAGAAGACTCAGACAATGAAAACTCACTGAAATCACTGTTCAGAGCGTCCCTTTCTCTATTGCCATCAACAGTTACAGGCTATTAACATATCCAGTATGATCAATAGAACCATTAATTATTCTTACAGAGAAAAATATTACCTTCTTTAATGGAGTTGATTTTCTCATATCATATAGCACAATATTTCTGTCAGAAGCACAGCTTCCCAAAAGGTATGTCTAGAAAATAAATAAATAAAAAGAAAACCAGTGTGTATGGTCTTTACTTCTAGAGGGTAGTTAACAGCTAAAATTAAATACCCAAGCTATTTCACTTAGTTTCTTTTTAAGTCAAGGAAATACATTAATCATTTTTCCTGTGCAGCTAATTATCCAGCACAAAAATTTTAAACAGCTTTCCCTGAAGCATTCAGAATCCACCTGGTGCCCTTTACTTTAAAACTAAAAAGCAATTCTTCATACACACTTAAGCTGTGAACACAGTCCAGTCAAGAGGTGTAACAGGAAGTGCTGTAAAAGATCAAGCGCAATTGTTTTGGGTGAGAAGTCTCAGTCACAGGTAGTACAATACTGGAACAGGTGACAGCTCCACAGCCACGTAACTCCTACACTATAGACTGAGGTACCAGATCTGTGTTGCTGTGGGCAGAATGGAGACTGCCCTGCTTTTGCTTCTCCTCTCCCCCACTAAGAGAGATAAAAGACAAAAATACAAAAACATTCGGTACTACATTTCAAATCAGTATAGCCATTAAAATCTATCTATACCCCCCAAATATTGTTAAAACATATATCAAAATCTAAATCTGGGGAAAAAAAAATTGAGATGATGTAAACAGAGTTTAGATCTTATACTGCTCAAGAAAAATACTGATTTCCAATATATAACATAAACAGTACCTCAATGGGATTAAATTTTACACTGCTAATGCTATCAAAACCCCAAGTCAGAGAACACTTGGGACTTGTCCTTTGTTCATCCCAAATGTCCACTTGGTGGCCACAGGTGGCAAAAACGGGATCCTTCCAGTGGTGATCAATTCCCGTATACACTGTCTTTAAAGGAAAAAAAAAAACACAAAAGAGCAAAAGTTTACAAAACCAATTGTATGCATAAATATGCAAGTATGTTCTGTTACCAAAAAGATCAACAAATCATTGCACATGGAGTCTCCCATAGTTTTGCTCATTTATATTACCGAAAATCAAGTCACCAGTGCAACAAGGAACCAAATCTTATCAGATGTGCCCCCACTAGTAGCCAGATTTTATTTTTCATTTCAGGTACATGCACGCATTTCTTATTAATTTACAATGGAGTTGGCATTAAAAGCACACTTACAAAGTCCTGGCTGACTTTAAAGCAAATGGAAACGTTTAGGGTACAACTGTGAATTTTCAATGGGGACCTGAATGGATTCCATAGACATTACAACAACTGAAGAGTTTCAAACTATCTATTTCCAAAAGTATTTAATGTTTTTCCTAAAATAAGCTTATCATAAATTGAAATTGCCAAAGTATGTATTTTTAGTCTGCTTTTGTCAAAAACAAAGACCTAAAGTTAGTATTTTATATTGAATGGCTGCAAGGTACTGCCATGAAAAGAAATTTAATGCAGACTAAGCCCTGACAACACACATCTGAAGAGAAAGAGACTACAGAAAGATCTGACCAATTTGCAGGAGAGGGATGATTAGTAGACAGAGCTAAGCACCTCTGATGGCATTTGCAATATTCCTTTCTGGTTACATGTAAAACAAATGTAATAAAAACGTGAGGATATTTTAAAAGTGCTATTATGACATTTGATGCCATCACCCATTAAGATAACAGGTGACCATTAAGATAACAGATGACAACCCATTAAGATAACAGGTAATATCGAACTATATCTCTCTCCTCCAAAAGCTAGATAAGAAATTGTTCAAACTTAATTCAAAAGAAGAGATGTAGGAAAACCAAAACTCAGATTTACTACCTTCCCAAGAATTGTATGAATAGGTTCTTCTTCTTCTCCATATTCTGGGCTCTCCATTTTCCACTGCTTCACAGTTTTGTCATCACCAACCTGGAAATATTGGAGAAAGCACAAATAGTTTTATGTAAATATATTCTGTTTGTTTTGTTAGATGTGCTTTGCAATTAAATACAGGTAGCCTTTCAAAGAGAATGTTCCATGACAATACACATGCTTGTCACCGTTCTGTTTTATACCTCCAAGCTGCAGATTAGCCCTCCTGGTCACAATATTTTGCTAGAAACATGTACATGATCTGGCTGGAGTGGAGTGAACATTCTTCATAGTAACCCATCTGGCACTGTGGTTTGGGTTTGGGGCTAAAACAGTGCTTAGAAAGTCTTGGCTACTGCTGAACAGTGTTTGCACGGTGCAGAGGTATTTCCCTCTGCTCCCACTGTGTCAGTCATCACCCCTGCCTCCCCCACCAGCAAATAGGCTCAGTATGGGCAACAGACTGGGAGGGGACACAGGCATGACAGATGTCCTCAACTGGCCAAAGGAGTATTCCTTACCAGAGAACATCATGCTCAGCAATAAAAACTGGGACAGTGGAAGCAGAAAGAGGAGGTGAGGGCTGGCTTCCACAGTGGCTGCTGCTCAGAGATGGTCTGGGGATCTGTCTGCTTGTGAAAGCAGGTGACTGATTTCCAGTTTGTCACTGTTTCCCACCACCACCTATTCAACTGCCTATCCTGATTTACAAAGCTTTTCCAGTTTCCAAAACAGGTACTTCCAGGGTTGAATAGGCAAAAGGTGAGTTGGAGTTGTGACTATTTTTCAAAGGATACATTTTGTGATTCTTAATCAACTCGCACCTTAAACTGCAAATTACCTTCTGGAAGTAACTTTGATGAGCATTTAAACAGTTAAATGGCACTTTCCACCTCAGTTGCTCAGCTGCCTGTTTCAAATGCCATTCTACTTCTTGCACTAATGCCAGCACAAGCTTTTGCATGGCTGTGCAGTGACCTGGATCATGCAAAAAGGCCTAAAAAAACGTTAGCTTTACAAGTTTAACTTCCTTTCCTAACCACAGTACTACTGTTTCTTCTCTCCCTCCCTCAATTTTCAGGCAGAATTTTTTACTATGACTTCCCCCATATCCTAACTACTGTTCTCATGACCTGGCACATACTTCAGAAAATATACAGTGAAAATGGCTCTTCTACGCCCAGTTCAAAAGAAACAATATCTCAGGGCACTCTAGATTTTAAAAACAGTTCTTACTGTGTCATCTTAGAACTGTTTTAATGTAAACAGGAAGACATGCTATTTCCAGACAGTTTACATGCAACTGAACATGTTGTGGTTGATTTAGGTTAATAAAGCTTAATTCACATGGAATGATCTTGACCCAATCAGGTTATCTTTAATCACAGGATATGCAAATGGTTACTTTTTTACACTTTTCTATGTCTTTCAATGAATGTAATCTATTCACTACTTTAATGAAAACTAGTTTACTCAAGTTTTAATTACATGACCATCTGTTAGCTATTTTCTGGTCTCCATCCCTTCAATTGTCTTGAATAACGTCTGTATCACAGCATCAGAAACAATTCCATAATAAATAGAATTGTCAGGTTCATTGACAAATTTAATAAGCGTATTCATACACTATTATAAGATTGTATGTAAGTTTCTCAGTGTAAAACAGATGGTGAACAGGCACTCTGTATGGCTGCACTGTACTGAGACACGTTACACTTACAGTGAAGAATGATGTACCACAGAAACGGGCACACATGCCTCGAACAAAGCCTTCGTGGGCTTGTATAGTACGAATGCACTGTCGTCTGGTCAAGTTCCAAATTTTAACCTGTTAAAAACAGAGAGGTAAATAAATATTCTGTAAGCTTTCTACAGCCCACCACTGTAGTTCACAATTCAAGTACAAGGAAAAGAAATGGTACAGCTGGCTGGAACACTGGTCAGACTTCATAATGTAAGAAACCACTTAATTATTCCCTTCTTGGGGAAAAAAAAAAAATGAGGCTCTCTTCTTCTTTCCCCTTCCCCCCACCTAAGCTATATACTTTCTGCATTTTACATTCTCCTATTTTTGAACTAGAATTCTTGATAAATAAAGCAGCAATTATAAATTTAGGGGAAAAAAAGGCTCTATAGACAAAAGTATAAGGAAATAGCCTTTGGAACAAACAGAATGTTTTCAGTCCAGTTGCTGTACTACATTCTATATAGATGTCCACCTCTCAGAGAGGTTTTGGTTTCAAAGTATTTGGGCCAATTAAAGAAAAAATAACAAAGGAATTGAGGTCAGTTTTTATGTTTGTATGTATTTATAGCACCTAGTACTTCACTCATTCTATTAGTAGATAACAAATCTGGCTAAAGTTTCAAGATAAATCTCTCTTACACTAGTGCCTGACATATGCACTTTCTATAAAAAGCAGGAACAAACCAGCTATCCAGAAGACACCTTTAAAATATACAAGCACCACCAAATGAACAATGTAAGGGTGCGAGAAGACAGAGAAGACAACTTTATTTTTTCTACAACTCCAGATTTCTCTAGCTAAAGTGTCCTTGGGGTTTTTTTTTTCTTGCTATGCAAAACAGTCAAACAAACATAAGGTTAGCTTTCTTAGGCAATATGATAAAATATTATTCAAAAAAAGTTTTCGGTTGTGTGCCCCTTCCCCTAGCTCATCTGACTTCATGCAATCTTCTTAATCAAATCCAGCAGTTTAACTTCTTCAAGGGGAGGATGGGGGGTCATGTGGACAGCAAAAAGCAATCACTATGGAATGTAGAAATTAACATTCACTGTTCCATCCTGAGGAACTGAATAGCACACTCCGCTCACAGGTGAACAGCTGAAAGCTTCTGCCTTGGTGTGCTATAAGATTACAACCTGCAGTTTGAGAAACACTGCCCCAGACCGGAAAATTTGCACCTCCTGAGTGAAGGTAAATTATGCTGAACAAAGACATAAAAGAAGAGTAAAGTGGAACAAAACAAACCAAACGAAACACAAATGAGAAAGAAAATATAAAATAAGGGAGAAAGGTACCTTGTTTGTTGTGGTTTGTAAGCTTACCTCTCCATCACAAGCTCCAGACAGCACTGTGGACAAACTTTTTGGATGTTTGGCCATGCAATTAACTCCATCTCTGTGGCCATCAAGTGAGCTGAGAAAGGGTTTTGCAAACACACGTTCCAGCTTTGTTGCATTCAGAGCTCTTGTGTATTCTCGTGGAACCTCAAATGGATGCAATGCAGGGTCATAGTTCCTTGGAACTGCAACAAGAGGAACACGCACATTAAAAACTCGTGTTGGAGTAGGTTCAGAGGAGGGACACACAGATGACCAGAGGGATGGAGCACCTCTCCTATGAGAAAAGTCTGCGAGAGCTGGGGCTGTTCAGCCTGGAGAAGGCTCCAAGGAGGTCTTACGGCGGCCTTTCAGTTCTCAAAGGGAGCCTACAAGAAAGCTGGGGAGGGTCTCTTTAGCAGGGCCTGTTGTGACTCTGTGATTTCATGTGTAAAATCTAACGATTTTCAGCGTAGTCTCGGAGTACCAGAGCGGTGATAAACCCCAGCTCCGCACTCCGGCTCTGACACCGTTCCCAGACCACGCTCCGACACCCCGAGACGCCGCTCTCGGCCGCGGCCCGGCCCCGGGGCACGGCCAAGAAGTTCTTCCCCGCGGATCGGCACCGCACGGAGATCAGCGCCCGGGACCGGCACTGCGGAGAAAAACTCCCTGCGATGGGAGGGAGGGAGGGACGGAGGGCAGCCCACGGCCCTCCAGGCGCTGCGTGGATCGCGGCCGGTGGGTTCAGGAGCGCCTGCCCTCCTGCCTGCGTTCCCTCCCTCCTTCCTGCGCTCCCTCCCTCCTTCCTGCGCTCCCTCCCTGCCTCCCTCCCTCCACCCTCAGCCCTTCCGGCCGGGCCGGCACCACCCGAGCCCCGCTCCACGAGTCCCGCTCACCGCGCTGCAGGTCCAACTTGGTCTCGCGCACGTAGTCGTCAGGGTTGCGGCTCAGCACCTTGACGCGCATCGCGGCCACCGCTCCCGGATCCGGATTCCGATCCCGATCCCGCTCCGCCGGGAAACGGGCGCACACGTGACCGGACGCGGCGCGCGGGCCGCTCTCGCGCGAGGCCGCGGGCCCCGCCCCCCGCCCCGCCCCGCCCCTGCCCGCGCGCCGCCGGTGATGGGCGCCACGGGTCCCGCGTGCGCCGCGCGCGAGCCCCCAGCGCTGGAGCCGCGCGCGCCGTCCCTGCTGCGGCACGTGCGGCTGGAGAACCTGGCGGCGGGAATGAGCGGCGGCGTCCTGGCCACCCTGGCGCTGCACCCGCTCGACCTCGTCAAGATCCGCTTCGCAGGTGAGGCCGGACCGCCCGACCCCCCCGCCGTGCCGTGCTGTGGGCGCACGGACGTGCCCCCGCTCGCCGTGCCCGGCTCGGGACGCGCCGCTGTTCTCTGCCAAAGCCCTTTGCGGGGCATCCCCAGGGCTGGGGATAAACTGGCCGTGAGCCGAAAGGAACGGTCTCCGGTTCGCTTTCCCGCTATCCCAAAGCTCACCCTTCGTGTCATTTCTAGGGACTGTAAAATGTGCCGTGTGCCTGGAGCTGTTCCCAGGCTGATCAGAGAGCTGCGCAGCCTCTTCCCTCCCTTTCGTGACCACCGGTGCCAGAGGACACGGGAGAGCTGTCTGCTTTTAACAGGCGGATTTGTCCCAAGCCCTCGTTCGAAGTTCACCTCTATGTCAAGGATTTTCAAAGTGTAGCAGTAGTTTTGTAATAACCTGAGTTGTTAACAGTAGTGGTACTGTTTTGCAGAAAACTCTTAACTAGTTTGTGTTTTTTTCACAGGGGAATATGACAGCTTCTCTTGATTTTTCTGTTAGCGTGAGAAACACATCCCCCACTTATCATATTCTCTTTTAGGGAGGTTGAAATATTTTGCTGTATCTCTAGATTGTTATCTTAGAGACATGGGTGTTTTAGAATGTCAAAAACAAACAGAGAGGTTTTACAAAATTTACAGCGTTACATTTCCAAACAGACTTTTTATAAAGTTGGATTTAAACAGTTCCTTGCATATGTGTCCAGTTTCGGGCTCACCAGTACAAGGAAGGAAGACAGTGACATACTGGTGTGATTCCAGTGGAGGCCACCAGACGTTAAGGGGCTGGAGCACATGGCATAGGAGAACAGGATCAGTTTGGCCTCAAAAAGGAAAGGCTGAGGAGAGATATAATTGTAGTCTATGACTATGTGATTGGAGGACTCAGAGAAGGTAAAGCCAGATTCTTCTTGGAGCTGAATAGTTTATAGGGCAAGAAAGAACGGGCACAAGGTTGAATGTGGAAAATTACAGTTACTTATTTTACTGTGAGAGTGGTCAGATACTGGAAAAGGTTACCCAGAAAAGCTGTAATCCCTTCAGCCTTGGAAACATTCAGGAGTCAACTGGTCATGTCCCTAAGTAACCAGATCTAATTAGATCTGTTTTGAGCACAGGTTTGGATTAGGAGGTCACTTACACTCATGCTTTTTTGGGTGGAAAATAACAATTCCTATGTTTTATCTTCAACCAGGGAGTAAGAGATGATACTAGAAATGAATGTTGTGAAGATTCTTGGCAGCATCATTGACTGACAGACTTGCATTCAAGTCTCTGATTTCCCGCGTTGTTTAATTTGTTTACAAACCTGGTAAAAAAATTCAGAAATGTCTTTGAGAAAGGTGTAGCAGCACTTATTCAGGGGGGAGAAAAGAGATTTTTAATTTTTGTTCTAGTTTTGTGTGATTGTCAAGGTATTGAGGCCTTGTCACAATACACTCAAAGAGCATTTTGTGAAATCTGTCACTGCATACAGACTGTAAACAAAATTCAAGGGAAGTGAATAATAAATGTCTCATTGAACAGAAAACTGTTTACCGGATTTAATCTTGATGGGAACTCAAAACCTACATTGATTGTAAAACTTTAAGATGAATTTTCAGTACAATTGCAGTCTAGTCTTATGTCTATATTAAGAATGAAGGCTGCTGCTATGTTGGCTCATAGTAATTTAGGCCAGAAGAGATCTGTGGAGTTCATCCCTTACTCAGATACGGTCTGCTTAGATCAGTTGGTGGAGTCCTGTCTGAGAGTTTTTTGAATGGCTCCGAAGGTGTTCTTCAGGCATCTTGTATAAGTATTTGGCCACTCTGCTGGATAAAGAATTTTGGTCAGAATTCCTTGTCTGTTACCCCTTGTCATCTCACCATGCACCGTACCTCCTCTATCACCAGCATCGAGCCTGCACCCCTGCTGTTATAGTAGGAGCAATAGTAGCTACCGCTGTAAGTTGTGTGGACATCCATGTTCTACATGAAATCTGTCAAACAAAAACTTGTGTGTTTTATCTGTTTTGGACAGTGATATTTTCTGAATATTTGGACAACCACTTGTTAGGTTGTTAGGTGGGAGAAGTGTATGCATCTGGTGTTTCCTTGCAAATGTATTCAATGAGAGTAGAAGAGCACAGGAATTTTTGATGGCAATAAACTTTGAGTACTCTGATAAAAACTGACTTGGGAGTCGTCAGGAAGACATAACTCATTGCCTTATAGAACATTTTAAAGAGAAAGACTGAATTTAAGCATTGTTATTTGGGATGCCTTTTAGAAATGTATTGTCAAGAACCCCACCCATATCATGTGAAATATGGTACAGAATTGGAGGGATGCTAAAAAGAAGACACACAACACTTAAAAGTCGATGCTGCTGCTCACCAAAAATGCACAGCAGTGCAGATTGATGGGAAATTTCTTCTTACAGAGATAAAGAGTTCTTTTTTTTTTATTTTCTTTTTCCCTGCTTTTTGTTTAAGTTCTTTAACTCTAGACTTGGGAAGCTGTAAACCCCACCTCTTGCTTGCTTGTGAAATAATACTTTTAAAATACAGGTGATCAGTTAGGTCATGTTCAGCTTGTTTTGAAGGCTGTGGACTTCTCTGGTGGCTTTGACACAGCTGAACTTTGTTTCGTGAATTATTCTCCAGTATAATTTCTTTCTTTCATAGTAAGTGATGGATTGGAGCTGAGGCCAAAATACAATGGGATTTTCCACTGTATGTCCACTGTCTGGAAGCATGAAGGACTACGAGGCTTATATCAAGGGGTAACTCCAAACATGGTGGGAGCAGGGGCTTCCTGGGGACTTTACTTTTTCTTGTAAGTAGAACTGTAAAATGTGTCATATCCTGCACAATGTAATGTTCAGATATACAGATATACTGCTTCTTCTTTGGGGGGGGGTATAAAAATGTGCTAAGTGAATTACAAACGTGTGATTCTCTTAGTTAGTCCAAGTCTGTTACCCTTTATTATGGTTTGCTGTTTTCAAATTTAGGAGACTTTGTTCCTTTGTCAGGTACAGTGGGAATGTTGATGGGAAAATACTTAAAGAATGGTGATACTATTCATGAAAATTCTCTAAAAGTGCCAATGCACTGTGTTTAAAACCTCATGAAAAACAAAAACTTAAACTGATGTGTTAAGAATTAGAGAACATGATGAGATTTTCTACTAAAACTAAATGTTTAACTGTTTTTTTAATCATTTTAATGACAGTTCTTTCATTGTTTTTGTCAGTTGATGAGATTTGCTTATAAAGCTCATTTTTTAATATTCTGCTTTATTCACTTTGTAACTGTGACCTGATTTACTGCTGATTCTTATTAATTGAAGCATACTAGAGAGTAATTAGCTGGTATGGCTATGGAAACATCATTTGTCAGTTTTCTGGACTCTGTTATTGTTGTACTTCAGTCCTTAAGCTTTGCTGTAGATTCCTGTTGACAATTTCTTAATCCACAAGGCTGCAAACTAGAGCAAGAGAAGAAAGCTCAGTGTATTTATGAGCTAGAAGAGAGATACTTGTCAGTGTTGCTCTCAATAAAAAGGAGGCTATCTAATTTGTTCTTTTAAAAAGTTAATTCTTGAGATTTAATAGCTATTTCAAGATGCAGTCCTTGATACTGACAGTTTAATAATACAATTTAAATATGTATTACCATAGGTCACTTTAAGAGCTAAGTGCTCGGAGATCAACTAGTCAACAAAGATAGTTTAGGTATTTTTTTTCTCAAAGGCTGTGTGCCACCATGATCTTGAGAGAGGCGTTTTGTTGTTTTGGGGTTGTTTTTTTCATGATGTAAATCTGTTTTCACCTTTACCAAATTATATTTTATATTTGTCCAGTTACAATGCCATCAAAGCTTACAAGAAGGAAGGCAAGATGGAAAGTCTCAGTGCAACCGAACACCTAGTGTCAGCTGCGGAGGCTGGTGAGTTTAAATTCAGAGAAGGTTAATGTTCACTTCTAGCCTTTCCATATGTTGCTACCTGCCTTTCTGTGTTAGTGCAGCTTACAGGTGGCAAGTAAGTGTTCAAGCCCAAATGCAATCATTTATTGTCTGTAAATAAAATAATGAGGCTAACATTAAAAGATGGATCACTGTGGTCTCTTCAGTTTTGCACAGAATTAGAAGTTGTCAAAACATCTTTTGTCGTTGTTTTCATTGTTCATCAGCGTTTTCCGCATTTAGTGTCATATGGGGTTCCCAAATATAACTATGTAGATCTGCTGCTATGAGCTTGTTAACTTGTTAAATGTTTAACACTTAGACCTGAAAAAGACAAGGCCTATTGAATCACAGACTCGTAGAATGGTTTGGGTTGGAAGGTACCTTAAAAATAATCTAGTTCCAACTGCCTGTCACTGACAGGGACACGTTCCACTAGACCACACTGCTCAAAGCTCCATCCAGCCTGACCTTTAACACTGTCACAGATAGGGCATCCCAGCTCCTCCAAGCAGCCTGTTCCAGTGTCTCACCACACTCACAGTGACTAATTTCTACCTAATATCTAATCTAAACTCTCAGTTTAAAGCCATCCACCCTTGCCTTAATATTACCTGCCCTTGTAAGAAGTCCCTCTCCAGTTTTCTTGCAGGCTCCCTTCATGTACTGGAAGGCCACAAGTAGGTCACCCTGAAGCCTTCTTTTTGCCAGTCTGAACAATCCCAATTCTCTCAGCATTTCCTTACAGGAGAGGTGCTCCGTCCCTTTAATCATCTTGGTGGCCCTCCTCTGGACTTGCTCCAACAGGTCAATGTCTTTCCTGTGCTGAGGACTCCAGAGCTGGATGCAGCACTCCAGGTGGGGTCTCACCAGAGTGGAGTAGAGGGGCAGAATCACCTCCCTCAACCTGCTGCCCACATTGCTTTTGTTGCAGCCCAGGATATGTCTGGCTTTCTGGGCTGCAAATGCACATTGTTGGCTCATGTCCAGCTCCTCATCCACCAGCACCTCCAAGTCCTTCTCATCAGGGCTGCTCTTGATCTGTTCATCCCCCAGCCTGTATTGATATTGGGCATTGCCCTGACCCAAGTGCAGCACCTTGTACTTGATCTTGTTAAACCTCATGAGATTCCCATGGGCTCACTTCTTAGGCTTCTCCAGGTCCCTCTGAATGGCATCCCATCCTTCAGATGTGTCATCTGCACCACTCAGCTTGGTCTCATTGATAAATTTGCTGAGGGTGCACTTTATGCCTTTGTCTATGTCATTAATGAAGATATTAAAGAACACTTGTCCCAATTAAGTTAGTAGAAAAAATGAATTGGTCACTGGTCTTTTAAAATCTTGATCTGTGGTCCAAGTTTTCTTGGAAACTGAAGATCTGAAATAAAATTTATTCTATCAGCAAGACTTTTAATATGTTTTTTTCTAACATATGTTCTTGTACATGCTTCTGTGCTCTATTTAATCTAGTCAGTTGAGAAGACTTTATGAGGATGTTGGAGCATTCATTTAATGTTGAAATGTAAGGCATATTGTTTAATGTGAAAAATAGTAATGGGTTCTTTTACAACTTTATTTTCAATAACTTGTAAAGCTGTAACAGGTTGCTTGTATTAACTTGTCAGTATGATTAAGCAAATTTCTCATGACTGAGGTGTCCATTAAATTTTGAGCAATTGTATACCTGAAGAATAACTTTGATAATCAGGATTACATTAAGAAATTATTTACATTTCCTATCTACTGCAATTATGCTACTAACTGTGGAAAGGTGAGGCAAAAAAGGGGGCTATACTAGGAATATGAACCGTGTGCTCTGCGGATGTACTCCCAGCAGGAGTGGGTTGGATTTTATTGTGAGCTTCGAAGGAAGAGGGGGTGGGAAATGGAGGGTATAAACTTTGTCTGTTTAAAGTAATATGAGTATTCTTGTAGGGTAAGTAGTTTTGTCTTCGTAAAAGCCTGTGTTACATTGGACTGAACAAACTGGGACAAGCTTTGGAGTTGGCATAACAATCAGTCTGACTTGCATCTGTTCTCAGGAGCCATGACACTCTGCATTACAAACCCAGTATGGGTAACGAAGACACGACTGGTGCTACAATACAACGCTGGTGTTGATCCATCAAAGCGGCAGTACAGAGGGATGGTTGATGCTCTTGTAAAGATATACAAGACAGAGGGCATTCGTGGCTTGTATAAGGTAACAAAATCTAAGAAAAATTCCGGAATTGGCTGCTGCCACTCAGTAGCATGGTGAGACAAAAAAAAAAAAAGCGGGGGGGGGGGGGGCAAGTAATTTTTTGTCATAGTTCACTTACTTTTATTCGGTGAGTTATTCCCACTGGAGAACTGCAGCAAAAAAGCTTAATCAGAAGAAAAGCTATTACACTGTTGCGATAGAGGACAGAGGAAATCCTGAATAATACAGTGTAAGCTTTATGACTAAGCCATCTTCTATTGGGTGATAGAGAGTAAACTGCTTTGAAATTTTTTTGAGTTTTCCTATAATTAGAATGTGGATAAGCAGGGCAGCAATAGTGTAATCTATCTTGCTGCTAGTACTTTCTTCCATTTCATCCCTTATCTTTGTCTTTCTGACATCTTATGGAAGGTAACATATGACTAAAGTACTTGCTAATTTTTTCTTCCGCAATGGATGGTTTCACAACTGCTTATTTGCCCTCTAGTTATTGACGTCTGTAATCTGTCATCTTTAGATGCATAAAATTTGAAGACTTCTAAATATGGTGTGCATATGTGTGGGGGTTTTGTTCCCTTTAATTTAGGGAAACAGATGGCAACTGGATTTGGACTTTTTGCCTCCTCCTTCCTTCAGGTCATGACATCAAGATTCATTCATCAGTGCCTGGAAGTTGCGAAGAAACCTATTTTAGTTCAGTCTGGCTCTTCTCCTGCAAGTAATGCTATAGAATCATAGAATCATAGAATGGCTTGGGTTGGAAGGGACCTTAAAGATGGTCTATTTTCAACACCCCTGTGGGGGGCAGGGACACCTTTCACTAGATCAGGTTTCTCAGAGCCCCATCCAACTTGGCCTTGAACACTCCTAGGGATGGAGAACAAGACCACTATCTCTTGCAAATTGCCCTGGTTAAAGGACACCATCTTCTTTTATTTTCAGTGAAAAATATAATCTTTCCTATGCTGAAAGACTAGTATGCTTCGTGGCAACAGATGCCAAATTCTGACACCAGGAACAAGGCACCCTACTTATTCCTAAATTGAAATTGTCAGGATTTCTGATTTGCTTGCCTGGATGTCTGCTCTGTTCCATGTAGATAAGTTCTAATTTCTTGAATCTGTTAGGGTTTAAGATGTCCTTCCACCCTTCTTTTCAGATTATTCGTGCATGTAACATGTGTTGCCTTTGGCATTAGACACTTCTTTGTAGTGTTAATCTGAAAATGAGGAACTAAACCAGATACTTCCTTTGAAAGAGCAAATTACTCGCTTAAATCTGCAAAGAAGGTGACCTAGATAGGTCTTGAGTGACTTACATAAGTATGTACACTGAGCAACTTTCATTTAATGTGAGGACTCTCTGAACCTTGTCTATACTGGGGAAAAAGGCACATCTTTACTTGGCTCTTTGGCTTGTCCATACTTTAGCCTCCCTTCATTTTCTACTTTTCTCTTTCTTGCTCTGTTTGAAATTGGACAGCTGAAGTTTTTGTAGTACACACACGTCTTCTTTTTTCTCATAATCTTAATTTCAGCGAATTATTGCAAATAAGGGGGTCTCAGATAGTGCCAACGAAAGTTGGAAATAAAATCTGGAAAGAGTTGCTTTCTGATGGAGATTAGTCTTCTAAAGAATGGTATTTCTGTCTGAGCAAGTCCATATCTTGCTCTCTATTGTGCAGTTGCTGTTACTGGTTGGAGCAAATCCTTTAGTCCTTTGAGGCACAAGGCAAGTAATGTCAAGATACATCAATCTTTTTAGCAGGGATCAAAGCTGTCTTTAATACCTCTTCTGGTTATTGGTCATTCATTGAACTATTGTTCTTCTGAATCTGTGTTCCTCGGTAAGTTGTTTTTCTTGCACTTGGCCAGGTTTTGAAAAGGCAGGAGTCTTTCCTTCGCTGATTATCCCAGTAATCATCCAGTCTGTGATCTTCCACACCCTTCATCCATTAGGCTTTGTCCTATGGCCTCCATCCCCCAGGTGACTGTGGACAGAGCTGCCTGTGCTGCACACCAGGCTGAATTAAAAATCACTTTGGGGTTATGTAATTTGAACAGACCTGTGGATTTGTTGGACATCTGAGCTCTAAAAATTACTTTGGCATGAAGTTGAATGTCATGCAACCATCTTCATGTTATGAGTGCTGTCTTGTTCTTTTCAAGCATAAGGCGGGAGAGACCAATTGTAAGATGGAAGGAATTGAAAAATATAAAATATCTCTGAGCTCTTGGGAAACTGTTAGATGTATAGTCTGGAGTTCCTGACTGCTAAAACATCAACCAAAAGTCAAACATTCTTCCTGATCTCAGTACTTCTGTATATGTATTTTAAGTTTCATTCTCTTTTAGCAGCAACTGGAAATAGAGCAATTCTTAATAGACAACAATAAAATATACAGGAAGTGCAGAAAATTTAAGGATATTAAAGTAAAATCCAGAGTCATCATGACTGAGAATATTAATGCAGTATTCATTAACAGAACAAAAAAAAATCCTAGCAGTAATGTGTGCTTGTTAGCAAGTGCAATATATTTGGACACTTCTGTGTTGTCATTTCACCTTTGATAGGCAGGATTCTATGCTCTGAAGGTAAAGTATTTTTTCCAGTCCTTTAACGTCTAAGGCACTTAGACCTCTTTATTTTGCTATACTTTTGCTTATGCTATTTTTCTTCTTGCAAATATGAAATTTGTAAGCTAAGTGACTTTTTACATCTTTGTAATTGTACTCAGCAAAATTCATTGAGATTTGACCATCTCGACTTTAAATTTAGTTACAGGTTCTACGGAGAGACATAACCATAAGTAACTTTAATATAAAAGATGGTATCATTTTTCACCATGAAGGAATCAAGCTCCATAGACAGATAGTGGCATACTCCAGTGTCTTTCTGCACAAGTTGCCAGAGTAGGGCAGTTTGATACTGCAGGTCTTTTGCACACTGAGAACCCAAATGAAGACAACACTAAGCAGACTGCAAAGGGAATTTGCTGCATTCTGAATTACAGAATATGCCAAATTGGAAGGGACCCACAAGCATCATGAAGTCCAGTTCCTGACCCTGCACAGGACCATCCCCAAGAGTCACACCGTGTGCCTGAGGGTGTAGTTCAGACACTCCTTGAACTCTTTCAGGCTTGATGCTGTGACCACTTCCCTGGGGAGCCTGTTCCAGTGCCTAGCCACCCAGAAAAAGGGTGAAGAACCTTTGAAGAACCTTTTTCTAATAACCAACCTAAACCTCCCCTGAGACAGCTTCAGGTCCTTCCTCAGGTCCTGTCACTGGTCACCACAGAGAAGAGATCAGTGCCTGCCCCTCCTCTTCCACTCATGAGGAAGTTGTAACTGCAGTGAGGTCTCCCCTCAGTCTCCTCTTGCCCAGGCTGAACAGACCAAGTGACCTCAGCTGCTGCTTTGGCTTGAGTGCTCTCAAACACTTCAGGCAGTGATGTGAGTACCAACATCACCAAATGAACCTTGTTCCCTACCTTAATAAGTAACATAGGCTTTCTACTTTATACATTTGCCTATGTTTCTTTTCATTGGGGGTGGATGACCTTTGAAATAATAACCAATGGGACAATTTCCTCTTGTCCTAGATCTTCAGCACTTACAACTCTTTAAGTGAACTTTAAAATACTTTTTTTATTCACACTGTCTGCTATTCAGGATTATATGCTTTACCATTTTAATTTCTAATTATATATTCTGTCTATTGTTCTAATCCCCCAAAAGAGAATTCAAAAAGGATTTCTTTAAGAAACCATTGATCTTTTCAACCTGCATGGCAAAAATCTTCTAAGGATATAATTTTGAATATTAAAGTAAAAAATACAAAGGAGTACATGAAGTGAAATTATTTTAAAATTGATTTTCACATAGATGAAAAGTAAATACCAAATTCTATCAAATTTTGTGGCAAGAAAGAATTCTGTATTAAGTTATTCTGAAAATAAAAAAACTGAATAGGAACATGTTTCAAAAACTTGCTCAGCCAAGATATTTCAGTACCATGAAGAAACAGTTTTGCTTTGAAATATGTTCCATAAGAACACGTTGTTATGTATGATCAATAGAAGCCTGGATCAGCTCTTGTTTTACTGAGACATTTTGGCTGACAGTTTACCTCACTCCCTTCTTGCATTTTTTAATATTGGCCTGGTGTTAAAAGTCCCTCAGTCTTTGGAAGCTTTCCTCATCAGCACAAGACAGAGCGTGCCGGCACTCATTTATCATCAATAGATGCTTTAGGACTCTTGGGAGCAAGTTATCCAAATCTGCTGGCTTAAATTTTAGAGTTTAGCACTCTTAAACATTGTTTAACATTCTTCCTCTGTTGGTGGGGAAAGTATTATCTCATTCTCCTATGATATAAATACATCGTTCTGATTTTTTCCAAGTGGAGAGCAATTACTTCCACTGTCTTTTAAAAAACAGCTTTATTGTCTCATCACAGATAAATATTTATGAAGATTTTCCCTGCTGTCACTGTCCATAAGTTTCATACCATTCCTTGTTGTCCTGACCCAGATATTTTTTCTTTGATATTTTTTATAATTTTGTTTTTTCTTTTCTCTTTCTGATTTTATAATACTGGTTTATTTTTGTTTCTGCTACAGGTTTTGTGAAAACCAAAGTTGTCCATTTCCTTCTATTGCAGCCCTTTGGCTTCAAGCCTATGGTTACGCTCACAGTTGGCAAAATACAGATATGGGGCTTAATTCCACTTGTTACCATGTTTGGGGAAGTGTTTTTTCAGGGACTTTCACAATCCCTTAATGCATTTCATCAGTTCACGGTCACTGATGATGAGTTCATGACCATTATTTTCTGCTGTGAGAAGAAATTTATCCTTATTGATCAAAGAAATTCTAAAAAATCACTTCCTGAATGGCTGTAATATCAAGAACTTTAAAACTCTATAGCATGAAGAGAGCTGATCTCTGAAGTGATAGAAGCTCTGTGCAATTTTTATACCTGCTGTAGTTTTAGTTGTTTTGGATTTTCTGCAATTTAGAAGTTTATCATTTTGTCCTGTTAACACTATTTCAGTGGACTCCTACCAGGTTCCTTTCTCTTTTTCTTCTTCTTCAGGCTTTTAATAGTATATTGTCTTTATTCAACATTCTGGGCTTCCCACTTAGTCTAACACACAGTTTTGAGTCTGGACACATTTTTTTAATTCCCTGTTCTTGCCTGAATGAATCATAGGAAATCAGATAAAACTGTTCAATATCAATATTTTTTTTTGAAACTTTAGTTCTTTGAGTCCTTTTACCCACATTTGCATCACTAAATCCATTATATTTGTACCTTTGTAACAGTTTTCAGCAAGTTTTTGGCTCCCTTAAGTAATTCTGGACAAGATGATTAATCCCCCACTTATTTGTATTTTTTCAGTGTAAGTGACCAACACTTCAAAAAGAGAATTAGCGCTTTTTGGAACCCGTGCAGCTGGCAGCTCATTTTAACTGAGGTAGTTCTGTTCCTGAGGGAACTCCTGTCTTTTCTTTCTTTTGGAGACACTTCAGAAAATACTTGTTTTCCCCTTTCATTTCAACTTTCTTTGAAAGAAAAGGTTGATGTGTATTTCCATATTACACTCTTACTATCCAATACTGCCTCTTACAAATGGGGAACATTTTCCCAAACTGCTTTGTCACATCTTTGGGCTCTTCTGCTGGGCTTCCTTGAAATAAGCTCATAGCATGATGAGGAATGCACTCAAACTGATCTGAATCTTAGATTTAATTCTTTGATGTAAATCACCTGTAAGTCCTTGTATGAGTTAGCTTTTCATCTGTGCCCTTCAACTTTCCTGTGTGTGTGTTTCTGTGTTTGTGTGTGTAAGAAAGACAGTGCTGGAGTGGCTCGCTCTCCTTCTTCTCCCACCGGGACGTGGGTGAGTGGTGGACATGGCAGTGTTAGGTTTTTGGTTGGACTTCATAATCTTAAAGGTCTTTTCCAAACTAAATGATTCTATGATTCTATATAGACCCACACTTTTAATATAGAAATGTATATATATCGTAGATATTTATGTAGAGACACATACATGCAAACACATATGTATTTCCAGGGCTTGATCACAGTAATTTTTTTGTACCTCTACCCCCTGTGGCCCTTCTCACTGAGATGCCAGCACCTCTCATTGCCTTACCAGTTTCAGGTGGGAATTAAACCCCTTAGTGCCAGTTTCTGGAAAGGAGCAGGCAGTGAGCAGCACCCTTGCAAGACTGCAGCTTGATTTGTGTTCTGGCAATCCTTATCTGTGTTACCAGCTTGTGCTCTGTGAGGTGGAGGTCCTGGGCCACTTGTTTTATCTTGGTGACTCAGTAGGTGTCTTTAGCCTGTATGTCATTTGGAGAAAAGTGACATTTTTACGTGTTTGTGTGATGCCAGCCATTAGGAATACCAGCCCAGAGTCGGCTCTGATCACGCTGCACAGGGAGGACATGTGATGTGTGTTAAGCTGTGCTCGGTCAAGTTGTACAGTTTTTATGCATTACCCTTTAACCTTGTTTTATTCCTTTTTTAGGGGTTTGTGCCTGGTCTGTTTGGAACTTCACATGGAGCACTTCAGTTCATGGCATATGAGGATTTGAAAGAGAGATACAACAAGTACAGAAACAGAGTATCAGATACAAAATTGGTATGATTGAGAATAAAAATGTGTTGTGGCATATGAATAAATAGAAATTTATTCAATTTGTCTAGGTTATAGGGCAGCCAAATGTGCAAAGTATTAATACATTAACTGGAATGTAGAATATATAGAAGGAAATAATACTTATTTACTTTTTAAGAACAAGCAACTGGTTAGCGCTACTTTTGGAAATCAATTTCTTATTTTGGCAAATGTTTTGAGAATTTTAGAGGAAGGAATGTTTTTTGTCTTATTTTGTGGAACCACAGATGGTGATACTAAACCCTGGAAAACTGGTCAGGTGCAAGTTGGGCAAAGGTAGTTACTTTGGAAGAAGTGCTTCCTTTGATAGGAATGAAAGAGCAGAACACGTTTTACAATCAATTACTTGTAGTACTGCATATAATAAACATTGCCATTTTTTTTAATATGTGTATTATTAGGGGGAAAATCTAGATTATTGTTAAGTTCACCTTTTAAAAATCAAATAAGATTTGGGGAAATGGGCTAATTTAAACCACACTTAAGGCAAACCCAGTGATTTTTGTTGCTTCTAGAACACTGTGGAATACATAATGATGGCAGCCGTATCCAAAATATTTGCTGTGTCAGCAACATACCCCTACCAAGTTGTGCGAGCTCGTCTTCAAGATCAGCATAACACATATTCTGGTGTGTTTGATGTGATCCGCAGGACATGGAGGTAGGCATGCAGAATTAAAAGTGTATATCACAGAAAGTGACTCTTGCAGAATCAGAACTTTCTTTACTGGCTTCTGTGCTGACTTGCAAAACCAGGGCAGTTCAGAGCACACAAAATGTTATCTGTACAAAGTTATCTTGTGCAAGATGCCACTAATAGCTGTAAGCTGAGGACAAAGGAGGAGATAGGAGGGGGTCAATGCCAGCCTGCACATTTCTGTTTATCCTGTCTCCCTTCTCTCTTTACCAGCAAATTTCACTTACAGGTTAAAAAATAATATTGACTTGGCTGATGCGGGGCTCCTAAACAATGAAGTCTCACTTGAACTGCTTCAGCTTATCACACAGGACAGGAGCCTTGTGTGGAAGCCTTGTGGAGCCTTAGTTGTGGCTAATCCAGATTCCTGGCAAGGTGAAGTGAGCTAGCCAGAGCTGTTTATACTGATGTCCCTGGGTTACCCTGGGGGCTGACTGCATTTGTACTTTGTCCCAGCTTGTAGGACCTTTAAAGAACTGTGACGTCACACCTGTTCATATCTTCTAACAAACCTTCCCTCAGCTCCACAGTGCCTGTGAGAGTTTTCACACAGACTTCTGTAGTAGCTGAGGTTGGCCACCTCTACAGTGTGCAACCAGTATCCATCTTGCTTTGGACAGTTCTGGGTTGCAGCATATTGCTGGACAGGCGGGAATGAAGTCCTGGGGTATGGAGAGGTGCCAGCTGAATGAGTGACTGAGGCTGTGTTGTTCAGGAGCACCCCTGACTCAGAGGCAATATGACCATTTCAGCTGAAGGCAGTTCAGAGCAAAAATAGCTCTGATATCTCAGCACTGTACCCCTCAGGGCTGCAGTCCGTAGGAAGGCTTTTTAGTTCTGATGAAGTGTAATACAGCCATTCTGGGGCCACTGCTGTGCTCATGATGAAACAAATGCAACCTATAGCCCTAGGAAGGGTAGTGTAAACCACACCCAAGCACTTTCCAGGATCTGTCTTAACTGTAGTCATCATTCCAGTTGTTCTAGGCTTCTGTGAAGCCTGAAAATATTATTAAATATCTTTGAAACTTCCTAACAGCCCTAACACGAACACTGATTCACATTGGGACAAGTTAGATTCTAGTTTATCGGCCAGTAGAATCAGAGTTCTGGAGAAGGTGCTTAAATTCTCAAAAAATAAATGCTGACTTTCCTTAATTGTGTTGACTCTGAGCTCACTTGTTCTTACATGACCCAAAACCAGCAAGCCTTTCAGTCCTGCTGGCTTCAGTGAGATATAATATGTTAAGGGGGTTTTGGTACAGGCTGCAGAAATTTTAACTTATTTTAACCAGTTCTTGTGGCATGAAGAAAGATAGTAAATTGCCTTCTACTTAGATAATACAAAAAAACCCCCACAAAACAACACCCATGTCCTAGGCTAGATAGCTGATCTCCAGAATATGTTCAGAAAAAATAAAGATTGGTTAATATTTTATAAACTTTAAACACTGTCTGAAATTGTTATTTCTAACCTGAAGCACCTCTCTCAATGGGAGTTCGAGAAGAAACTTTGTTTTATGTCTGGTTTCTCTTAAAAGACATGAATTAAAACCAAATGTTTTTTCTTTGTCTTTAAAGGAAAGAAGGAATTCATGGATTTTACAAAGGAATTATCCCCAATGTGATCAGAGTGACTCCTGCCTGCTGTATTACCTTTGTAGTTTATGAAAATGTGTCTGGCTTTTTACTTGGTTTTAGAAAAGAAAATAATTAAAAGTACAAACGTGGGTTCCTAAGGAATCTATCCTTTATTTTTTATATTTATGATCTGGAAAAATTTAGTTCAGCAGTCTTTTTTGACACTGAATTGATCTGGTATTTTGAGGAAAGAACATAGAGACAGTAAAACCCTGCCAACATCTCTCCTGTTGAACGTTCTTGTGTTGCTGCCTTCCTCTCTATCTGCTGTGTCTGCTTGAAACAGATGTCTGCAACTGTGAAATAATAGCCCTGTGACTGGGTGAAGGCAGCTGTGCAGCAACTCAGTTCATCCTGGTCTGCCTGGAATAACCGACCAAGCTGTTTCAACAAGTCTCGAGATAACAGTTGATCAGATTCTTCTCCTGCATAAGTGAAAAAAACTTCATATAAAAGCAACTCTGGGGCCTGTCAAAACTTCTTAAAATCGAGTCTCATGAAGAAATGAGCAATGTCCTCTGAATCCAGCTCTGTGTTATTTGTCAGATTTTAGGATATGGAATGCTCCAAATTCCATTACTCATCCAACACAAAAATTCTTCCTCGGTGGGGTGCACTTTAGAAACTAATATTGTTTTTTAAAATAGCTCTCCGTTCTTTGGTTTGAATAATTGCCAATCTGATGCAACCCAGTTCTTGTCTCATACCAGGACATACTTGCATTGTGGGTTTTGACTTGGTTTTAGCACCAGACCAAAGTGTATGTTGTATGCATTGCTCACCACTTAATTCATTTTCTCTCTTCCCTTCTCTCTCCATCTCTCTCTGTCTCTCTATGCCAGAGTCTGTCTCCATTGCTGATACATCTGACCAAATATTACTAAGGAAATGCATATTTGAAAGTGGGCTTACATTCTAAAAATGAGCATTTTTTTCTAGTAATCCATAGTGATGCAGTGTTCAAACCACTGTAAATAACAAATATGACCATGCTAATTTTCAGTAATATTCTCTGGAAAAAAAAAGAAGTCTATAACTAGTCTAAAAAAATCTTGTGCACAGGTCTTTATTTTAAAAAAACAGAATGATGCTTTAATGCCCTCTGATGTGGCTTAAGGAAAGGACTGTTAAGAATATATTGATTGCTAATTTAGTGATAAATTAAATTACAGTGCATCTCATTAAATTTGTATAATAATGATGGTTGTTTGCTTGCTAATAACTGCTGTCAAGCATATGTACTTTTTGGAGGTCGGGGTTTGCGGGTTTGGAGTTTTTGTAGTTCTTTAAGAAAATACATTACTGACCATAGTATTTCCCTTCTGCTGTTGATAAGAAGATATTGAGAAGTATCTAGAAAGTATCACTTAACTAGGAAATAAGTTAGCAAAGATTATTCAACAGGTAGGGGGAAATCAGTCAGTTACCTAAGGAGCAGAAATTTCCTGTTTACCAGACTAACTTAAAGGAGAAAGAAGCGTTTTTAGAAAAAATTTAACAGATTAGGGAATTGGTTTCACTTTTTAAGTTAAAATTTGGAAAACTACAGAAACTCCTCAGTATTTTGAATCTAAATTCAGCAATCCACTTGCTTGTTTCTGTCGGTATTATTGCCACATACCATATTTTTTGTATAATTAACTTTATTAATAATTCCCGCTTTCTCTTCCACATTCTCATCCTCTCTACTGATACAGTTGATAATCTTGTCTGAAATAGTAATAATAATCTCATCTGGGGTCGTTATGGCTGGCTTTGGTTTTTATTATGGAAGGTTCCCTGTGTATTTAGCTAAAGAAAAATTTGCTGGAAGTTTACCATGCCAGTTACTATGTAGATCCATAACAGCTACTAACTTCTGCCTTTGGAGGGTGTTTTCTTGGGTTTGTGTGTTTTCTCGTACATGGAATGCTGAGTTAACTCTGCCAGCCAGGGTCCAAAATATATTGTGAAGACATGAAAAAAAATCATAAAGAAAAGAACAAAACCTTTGCAGGTACTACCCTGGATCAGTGTGCTCTGGGCCCAAAACAGCTTACTCATGCCTGCAAAGACAGGCTGCAAGCATGTGCACAATCAGTTACTGTATATTAACTGACTTCCTGTAAATTCACTCCATAGCTCAGCTCATAGTAACTTGTTTGTGTTCAGGTACCTTAAAAGCCATCATCCAGTCCAAGGTAAACAGTACATTCCTTCAGAGGCAGAATACCAGCTCTGTAACTTGCTGGCTTGCAGCAAATCTCACACATAAGATTGCAGTTGGGAAAGCCCAGCGCTCCGCTTGCTGCAGATGTGCTCCTCTGGCATCCCCAACAAAAGATCCAGGCAAAAGCTACGTTTCTGAGAGATGCCTGGGGAGAATCCTATAGTGTGTTCAGAAAAGGAGCTTGAATTTAATCCTAAATAGCTGAAATAAATTGATTATTTCAGATTTAATGTTTTTTTTTCCTTTTAATTTCTGGGAAGACTGTAGATTTCTGCATGTTGTACATGCTTTTCGTGGGTTTTTTTATTTCATTCATGTAAAATTGATTTTGTAATACAAACGTTACTATTGTTTTTCTTTATAATGTGTGGAATTTTTAAAAATATTTAAGTATATCACTTGCAGAATTTGGAAGAAAATACTTAAAATAGTGCAGCTAATGCTCTGCCAGCATGATAGGTGTTGTCTCTCACTGTAAACACTCAGCTGTGACATCATTGTTTCACTATACCAGTACACTTTCTGAAAGCCAAGGCATTTCAGCCCGCCTTTTTTCTGTATCTTCCAAGCTATTTAATATATCTAGCTTTTAATTATTACCAAAGTGATTCTAAGTATCTGAAAGGCTAAATCTAGGAAAATTATTTTATTGGAGCAATGAAATTAAGTTTTATAACTGTAAAATTATTTAATGTCTGCATCCTAATAATGGAGACCTGTCATAGATGTTTATACTGAAATTCAGTCTATCAAGAAGCAAAAGAGGAAAGGAGAGCTTAGATAGTCTATTTTTACTTAATTATTCAGAACAAGGTATTTAATGCTTACCACACCATCTAGGTCACAGTTACATCACCGGGAGTTTGTTATGACAAGACTGTAGCAGCAGATCATGTTACTCTGCCATCAGATTTACAGGAATAGTTATGTATGTCTTCTGAAGGCTAAAGCCAAGACTTGAATTTACTTTCTTGGAACTTCAAAGTCTTCTAAAAAAATTGTGTACCATTAACACCATGTAAAATATCTCAAGCAGATTAATGTTCAATAAAATAGCCTGATTTTTTTTTTTTGGTAAAAGATATTATTTATTTGATACAAAAAGTTATGGCTAATTCTTAGAACAGTGATGGTATTACATCAAACAAGGAATTTAAAAAGTTAATGAACTTGGGTTTGATATTTATATTCTAAAATTATTATTATAAAAAGCCTCTGCAATGTACAAAACAAGGCTTGACAAAGGCTACAGATGCAAGGCTTGGGTGCCTTGCAGTCCAGTACTTGCATCCAAGTCTATTGAAGTAAGTTCTGAAGAAAATAGTACAAAAACAACAACAAAAAAAACCCTAGAAAGATATTATAAAAAGGGAGGGGAAGTTATTTTGGCAGTTCTTCAATGATGATTCGGGAGACTGAATTCCATCCAGTAGAAGCATCTCCCCGTGGATAATCGGAGCAAGTCCCAACCCAGATGGCAATGTCCACCAAGCCAGCATTGATCCCTTCGCACAGACCTTCCACTGGTTAAAGACAAAATTGAGGTTACCTCAGCAGACACAAACCCTTTGTAGTTCACAGCTGAAGGTGGACACCAGTACTTAAGAACAGCAGTTTATTGCAAGCTTGTGCTATTTAGTTAAACCTGAACAGCAATTTTAGAAATAGAAACTATTCTGTAGAGATGTGGCAGCATAGTTACAGTCATGCACTACCTCTGACCGTGCTGCTGACTGACACCTCTACCTGAATGGGAGGTGTATCTGCTGCTTTAAACGTCCAAATTTACCAAATGGGACTGGGATATGGCTTCATACCCTTCCACCCGTCTTTTTAGCAGTGATGGGGCGGGGAGGTGGGGATGCAGCTGTACCTGCTTCCACAGCTGAGCCCTGTGAAGGTGATTGCCACCTTGTAAGCTTTGCCACTCCTAATTTACTGCTCCTGCATAAAGTTCCATTCCTGTTGCCCTTTTTTTTTTGCCCCATTAGCACCACTAGGTGGTGGGTTTATGAGGACAGGTAAGTCCTACCCACTGATGAAAAAATTCTATGATAGCTCTAGGCTTTAGACTTCATGCAGTCATGCAGTACAGGGAGGAAAGTGGAGAAAGAGCAGAGACTTGTTCATTCACTTCCTAGTGTTACATCCTTTTGTGTTGAATGACTTCACTAATTTGCCTTTTGCTTAGCAACTGAATAATATCTACAGATATTTTGCTTTAGCGGTATTTCTGTGTCCCACCTGAATTTAAGAGTAGAAATTCCAGGAGGAATAAGTCTCATTTTATGCATAGATAATGTGCAAATATCAATATTGTAAGCCAGGATGTCTACTTGGCAGTAAGGCTGTTTCTCCATAGGCTAATACAGCACAGAATGTCTCTGTATTCGTGTTGTGGCAGAGATCAGTAGAACTGTCTGAATAGAAATCTCTTCCATTTCTAAATCTCAGGGTAGAAGTACCATGAAAAATACCACAAGAAAATACCACTTAATAAATAATTATAATACTGTTACTATTGACAGTCAACTCTGAGGCAGCAGAGTAAGAGTACCAAGTGTTAGCTGGCTGCTCTTCTGCTTCTTCTTTCAGTTCTCTAACTTTCTAAGGCAGGCAGCACTCTGGTACCTGCTACTGCCTTCTCCTCCACCTGTGCCCACACGGTCTCGACATACATACCTGAAGAAGTTCGGTGTATGTTAATAGTAGAATTTAACTCCGGACTTCCTTGATCTAAGTATATTATGGCTTCAATAGGAAGTGGCCCAGCACACTCTGCACCATTAAAAGTAAAGTACCAGCGCTGACAACAGGCGTTTTTGCACTTTAGCCGGAGGGACCCACTGAAGAGCACACGGAGAGCGCTGTTCGAGCGCATCTTGGTAAACGTACATTCCTGAGAGGAGACAGAAGTGCTTCAGTTGCAGCCTCTGGGTTTGAATCTATTTATTTTCCATATGCTAATATTTAGGAAATATATTTAGGAATATATTCATTTCTAAATGTTTTTGCTATTCTCTTTGGTCCCCTCTGGGGAAAAAAAAAATCAAGAAAAAAATTGGAGCGTGGCAAATGCCATACAATGCAAAGATGCAAATCAGAAACATCACCTCCTAGATGGTAATGGAGAAGCGGATTATGGAAATTCTTCATTTAGATAACACCTGCTGTTAAGTTGGTAGCCTTCTGGGGTTTATGTCAACAGTATGAGCTGTCTGAAAGCTCCAGTCAAGTCACAGGATCACAGAATCATTAGGGTTGGAAGGGACCTCTGAAGATAACCTAGTGCAACCTCCAAGTCCTTGCGTGAGAGGAGAGTACAATTTCTATCTCTGCTAATGGAAATCCTGGACTTAAAAATTATCACAAGATTTCTGAGAAGCTTAAACCCTGATAAAGACTCCACATCTGAAAAAGAAACATTTTCAGGTTTTTAAATGGTTATTATCCTGTCTTCAAAGTTGATTCTCCCTCTAGCTACAGCAGTAGCAGTTAGATTACTCCAACCCCTCTGGGCTTTGCTTCGTAGCTGGGATTGAGCTGGGATTTTTTCTAGACTTGAACCACTGTGTTTGAAAGTTTTACACCCAGGGCTGCAGTAGAGAACAGACTGTTTGGGTTGGTCTGGGTTACATTAGCAATTCTCCTGAACATTGCTGATCCTTTGCAGTAGTGTCCTGTAACTGAGTTCAGTGAACAACTATTTTGAAGCAGGATTTATAAAGACAGGTACAATTAACATATTAAAGATGTACATCTTTCCTTAGGATTGAAATAGTAAAAACCTTGCCCTGTTTTGGGCAAGCTGGAAGAATTTTTTTGGTAGTGCAACTTTCAGGCTGAGGTTTAAATATCTGGTTTTCTAAATGTACTCCTACACCAGCCACATCATTCTTTTGAAATCCTATTGCAGAAATGAATCGAGCACATAGCTGAAACACAACTGAGAGGAAGCTGAAGTAGCTAAACCTTCGAGAAGTTCACCCTTACGTGTAGGAAAAGGTTCCAACAGCAAATCCCTATGGTTGGTGCTGCCCAGCTCACAGAGGCTGCTGTGTTGATGCAGAGTATCATCCTGGGCAAAACAAACTCACCGCGATCTTCCCAAGGTCGATGCCGTAGTTAAGTGCGCTCCACGAACACTGCTTGAAGTTGGGTGTCCAGGACTCCTCGATGCTCTCACGCATGCACTCGCCCTTCTCCCCTTTCAGCCCATCCCTTCCTGGGATTCCAGGTGTCCCAGGGATCCCATTGGCTCCTGGGTTTCCATCCCGTCCAGGAACGCCACTGGGGCCTTGCAAGCACATGCCATTATACTGAAACACAGAACAGATCTTGCTCCCTTGGCAAGCCAAATAAAACACAAATGAGCAACAAAACACAAAACCCCTGCTGTGCCACAAGTTAATGGGCTGCTTCTGCATCATCAAGAAAATGGTCCATAGAAGAAGAAAATGGAAAAGTAAATTTTCAAAGATAAGCAGTCCCAGCAGAATTTGCTGTAAATTAAGATGCCATTTTGTTATGAAAAGATACGTAAATCCTAGAATTAGGAATTTACCTAGTCCAAGAATTAAAACCTGTTGGAATACATCAGAAGAGTCAAAACAATACCAAAACAAAACCAAAACAAAACAAAAAAAAAAAGTCGTATGTTAACAGTTAGTTTCTCCTAACCCACCATTGCTCGTATAACTGTCTCTGCTAATAAGTTTTCATTATTATTTTTCCTTTTTTTTTTAAAGTAGAGAAAATTTTTCATTTCATAGAGAACAGAGGTTAATGGTGGTTTTTTTTGCTCTGTCGCAGCTCCTCTGGGACAGAATCATGTCATGACAGTCAAGTCCCCCAAGTCAGGCTCCAGAATGCACACACATCAGTGGTGATGCAGATGTAGGAAGATGCACCCTGGAATAATCCTGAACTGAGGATTCCCCCATAGCAGTGGCAAGGCACACACGGAAGGATGCACACTAACATCCTTCCTAACATCACAATATTAGGAAAGGTCAAGTGTTGCTCCCCCAAACTGCACATTAATACATGTTGCCTTCATACTTTATGAAATATGGGTTTGCCCTCCTTAGAAAGTAGGTTTGTGCTGCTTCCCCCAGCAGTGTGAGTGCTGAGGAGGAGCACTGGTGTCAGCAGGCACGGAAATGCCGAGCAGGAACCTGTAGGGTCTAGTGGTGGCTTTTACTTCAAATGCTCTTTCCCATCTGGTGACTGACTGCTTGCTCTAGTCTTCATCCCAAATCCTCACAGGTAACAGTATTCTGCTCTTCCACTTTCTCACACTTATTCACCTTCATCTGCTTTAAACTACCTAATCCTCACTCGTTTCAAAAAGAAACAGTGCTGCAACTATTCCCCCTCCTGCCAGACATGCCCCTGTCTGCATTGCAGGAGCTGTAAACTACAGCCCCTGCCCTCTCTCCTTTGTCATACTGGTGAATTTTCTTATTCTGAGGTTATGCTTTTTCACAGGCCTGGGTGCAAAAACCAACATAGCCATCATAGGCTTGGCTGGAGCCACAAAAATAAATCAGTGACTATATGGAGAGGTCTAGTAAGAAGTAAGACAAGAGCTGGACTAATGGTTGCTGGCTTTTCCTTACTACGTCCACCAAAGAACACTGCTGGCTCAAAGCCATGGAAATAGTGGAATATTTTAATCAAGAAGGCCACTTTTTAGAAAAGTTAGCTGAAGACTCGTTGGTAAAGCACTCAGTGACCCAGGGGCCATTAGGATGATGGAACGGCATTTCTATTTCACCCAGCACTGATTATCTGCTTTTGCTGCTGCTGCTTTCCCATTGGACTCTATTTGTAACAGTGACTGGCTCTGGCTTTTTCGTGTGGTTACTCACCACAGAAATCCTGGATGTGGAAATGGGCAAGAACTGGGGGCAGGCCAAGGCTCAGGCCTGTTACCCCTCCCATCCCCAGGGACACCACGAAGGGCTGGGTTGCCCTCACAGAGGGGCTGCCACCGTGGTGGCCCAGAGCTGCACAGCAACCTTCCAGAGAGAGCAGCTCAGCCATTGCCCACCCCAAAAAATTGATGTGAGCACAAGAATTACCCGGGGTTTGGGCTCTGTTCCAACGAAAGTCATCTGTCTTGCCAAATAAAGTCTTTTTCATGCTTTCTTAAGCTGGAAATGCATAAAACATACTTTAAAATGTCCGCTGAAGGCAGGATCCCCTCTTGGGCATACCTTCACTCTGTCCTGGCATGGCTTTACCTGAAGCAGCCTGTACAGTCGGGCTGTGCCTGAGTCAGCTGCCGTTGACTTACCTGCATTTTCCTGCTCATTCTGTTGCACCCAAAATGCCAGAGAAATGAGAGACCCTAAAATACTGCTCCAACAAAAAATGTAAGCTCCTCCGTGTATACAGACTCCCTATTCTCAGTGCTAGTCAACTTCCACAATGAAAGGGAAAAGGAAATGAAGTGGTGTGACAGGGAAGGAGCTTTGCTATCAGTGGTGCTTCCAGTGTATCACTTTAGGGGATCTCCCTGGAGACCATGAAAAAAGTGGCCATGCCACTGATTTTCTAAAGGAGGTGAACAGCAATCCAGCAGCTCACAGAAATACCTTCACATCTGCTTTTGACATACCAAGGACTGGAAAATCTCCCTCCTCTCAGCTATCCCTGAGATGGGATAGTCCCAAGGCATTCAGGTTTCTAGTTGCAATGGAATTGCAGACAGTGGTACGCAGTCTCCACAGCCAAAACGAGTAACACATTCACGCGACTCCAAGGAAAAATGGGTTCAGGAAGCATGCAGATACAGTTTTCAGGGTGTCTGCTGAACAGCAGACTTTTTTTTTTTTTTCATCTTGTTTTGTACTTCTCTCATTATTATTTATGCACCAGCCCTTTAGGAATTAAACAGCATTTACTGCTTCTGTTGGAAGGGCTGTAGGATTTCGGCGTTGCCCCTGCAGTGGCTGAGGGCAGGGTCCAGCCCACGGCGCTGCCTCGAGTCCCGCCGCGATGCCCCCGGCACCGGGCACGGCGGGGAGCGGGGGCTCCGCCGGCTCCACCCGCAGCCCCCGACCCTGGCCCGATGGGGAAAACACCAACACACACCGCCGGCCGACGAAAACCTGTGGTTTTTGTCAAAGCCCGTCAAACCCCTTCTCGGCATTTTCCTGATTCAGCACAACCAGGGCGTAATTAACAGAACCCAAGAGAGAAGTCCAGCGGCGCAGGACCGGCGCTGCCCGGCCCGGAGCGGCGGCGAGGTTTCTCGAAACTGATTTTTCGCTTTTTTTCCCACATCTTTGCAACAAAAAAAAAAAAGCGTCCGAGCGGGTCCTCCGGTCGCCACCCCCCACCAGCACAGCTCCCCCAACACCTCGGTCAGCCGAGCTCCCGGCCCCGCTCCCAGCCCCCGGCCCCACTCCCAGCCCCCAGCGCCGCCGCTCTCACCACGTCCACCACCTCCCGCTGGCGAAGCGCCTTCTGCTTCCCCTTGGGGCTGTCGGAGCCGGCGGGCGGCGGGGCCGCCAGCAGCAGCAGCAGCAGCAGCGCCAGCAGCAGCAGCAGCGGGGCGGCGGCGAACGGGGCGCGGGGCATCGTGCGGGGGGCGCGGGGCGGGAGGGGAGGGGAGGCGGGGATGCGGCGGGGCCGGGGGGAGGCTGCGGCGCAGGAACCCGTGTCCGCCGCTCTGGGCGGCAGCGCGGGGATAAATGAGCCTTTCAGCGCGCGCAGCCCGAGCTCCCTCCCCGGGGAGGCCGGGAATTTCCATCCTGTAACGGAGCGGGACGGCCAGGCAGAGCCATCCCCCCGCAGCCATTGGCACAGGGCCGGGGGCTCCCGCCCCCTCGGGCTGGCCCCGCCGAGCTTTCCCTGGGCGATGCTGGAGCCTCCGGGCGATGCTGGAGACCGCCGGCCCCGCCGCACTTAGTGCCGGGCGGCGGGAGGGATGCGGGGACCCCCCCGGCTCTCCCGGTGCCCCAGGCAGCCCATTCCACGTCTTCGGGGATTTGCTCGGCGGACGATAACTCCTTTCCGATGAAGGCAAGAAACCGCGTAAAGCCACAGAGGGAGCCTGATGTACGTGAGGGGAAACGGTGATAAAACAGCAGCTGGGCATCAATCACAGATTTCATTGTAGCAGAAGTCAAGGTAAGGGAACAAAATCCTGAACAGCAGCGGATTTTGGACTTTATCGAAGAACCTAGTGTTGTGAGACTGAACATTGTCAATCTAATAACAGGAGGAAAGTTCTTGCCAACCCAGTGTAAACCATCTCATTTTCCTTTCATTTAAAATTATGCATTACTTTTCATCACACCAGAAATGAAAGCAATATAAAATAAAGGATACTGTATGTCCTCAAGCATTTAAAATAGAAATAACATATACTTAAGGAGTAGATTCTGTATGCTGCAAACGTTGTGGGATTTGTAGAGGTAAAGTTTCCAGAAGGGGGAGATAAACTTCAACATATATTTTTTTTCTGGAGTATTTAACAAAACCACACATTTATCCCGCAGGAAAGAATGCCACAAGACGTTGAGTCATTCACAATAGATTGCACAGAACCAGATTTTTGTGTACATTAAACCCCTTCATGTAGCTCTGCACTTACTTGTCTTTCTTCCCTTTCCTTGTCTGTATGGGTGGAACAATAGCAGAGAAGTGAGATTTGCGCCCCAGGTCAGTCACACTGCTGTCATCAACTCTGTCACATGGTGTCCTGAGAACTGGGACTGACATCAGCCACATTGCCGAGGTGAGTGCTCCCACCTTGAGAAGAAGGGAAATGATACACCCAGCTGACTTCAAAACAAAGCTGGCAAATAATAATGGTTCATTAAACCTGTTGGGAAAATTTATGGAATTATGGAAATCCATAATTACAACAATTGCTTCAGTGACAGCCTCAGTCAACATCCATGAACACGCACATGCAGAGGCTGGGTTGTGCAATCGTGCGTCGCTGCCAGCAAACCCGCCTGCCTCTGGCCCGGGCTGGTGGCACTACTGTGAGGGTGGTAACGTTTGATTTCTGTGGCACCTGCGTGTTCACACAAGCATCGTTACCAAGGGCTGGGGATCCCCAGCATCAACACAGGCTGTTGCTAAGGCATGTACCTTCACAGGCTGCCAAACCTGTGCATTACAGAATTAATGTCTTCGGGAAGTCTGCAGTATCTGAAGCACACAGCGCAGCAGCACCGCACACCTT